CTTAAAGGATATGCTTTAGGAAGGATGCTCACTTCCTAAGTGGATGGCTCAAAAAAGTGCAAGCTGTGTATTCACTACTAAACATGGTCTTCCCAAAAAGTATAAAGTCCATGAAGTCAGGTAGTGAGGATATTTTTTTACTGGCTCATTGTATCCTTGGGACTCCCTGGATACCCGGACCCATACGTGGCCCATTGCTCACAGCGCGAGTGAAACTTGACATGCTTGGCATCCAGAAATAATGATCCACTGCTGATTCACATCCTTCATCTTCATGGTAAGAAGCGACCCGTGTGATAGCAAAGTAGTTGATGCTGTTTCATGGTATTTGGACATGTGCTGCAAAAAGGACTCGCCTGCAAAATCAGATGGGTTGTTCATCATGGGTTCCTTAATGACTGGGCTGGCCTCAGATCCCCTGCCAAAAGTTTAACTTGTGGGTTGAATGGAGACCCCCACTATACCCCAAAAAGCCAAGACTGGGAGGTACCAAGGTAGGGGCAGGGTTCTGAACTCTGCAAATCATGAAATTGCCATTGCATCATGCAGCCGCGAGAGCTGCAATGAATTGCACCAAAATCATTTGACCTACCTTATTTCATGGACCTCCTCCGGGGGGCTATGGGCCTATGGGGGGGGTAAGCCAAGGATAAGCCCTTCATAAGGCCTTCTTCAGGGGTTACTACGTCATAGCCCCTCCCCATAGCATTCCTGACCTGAGGGTCCATGATGATTCCGTTTGTCGTCCTTTAGCCTCCTTTAACGCTTTAAACAAGTTATCCTGCTATAATTTCCTGTCCGTTGTGGGCATACCAATGTTCAAGCAACTCGATTTGCCCCTCAACGAGTCTGGAAGTTCAAGACGGAGATTTGGCCAATCTAGTCCTCAGTATCCGTTCACGAGCACTACCAAGCAGACAAAATCCTTTCGAAAACCCGCAGGATCTTGCGGATTGCCTTGAACATCCCACTAATTATGCTAGGTTCTTCAGTAGAGGGATTAGAATACCTGGATCTTCTGAGGGTACGTAATTTCTGCCGTTTGGCCAAACTGCAGAAAATGTTGCCGATTGAATTAATTTCAGCCGTTTCAATCAATACTTGCCGTTTTGCAAATTTCCTGCAGTTTCGTTCAATGTTGACAAAGCTGTTTTGCGTCATTGCCCCAATTTAGTGCGGACAAATGCGCCTGGAGGTGTCTGAAGGGTATGGCGAGTAAAATGCCCAGATTGCAAAACTGCTTAAAAGCTTCGGATAGCAGGATAATGTTGACACTCGATTAGTAAAGGGTACCGGAATAATAGAAAGTTTTTTTCCTTATTATGGTTCACACCCATTGTTTAAGGGGACCAGAATAATAGAAAGTCTTTTTTGGCCAGGGGGAAAATTAAAAAAAATCCACAAAGCAAATTTATATGCTTTTTGAAAAAAATCATCCCCCCCCAAACAATCACCCAAAATCCATGTTGACCCCAAAATCCAGCTAGCTGAAACTCTGAAATTTGAAAACCATCCCCAGCCCTGAAACTGCAAACTCTTTATTAAACCGTGCTTAAAAAAATGCCAAAAAACAATCAGGACAAGGGTACCCCTCACAGACCCCACAGAACCACAATAATGTGATTGTTTTAGGGTACCACAATAATGGCAAGCCCCCAGCCCCCCCTCCCAGAAAATAAACTATCAGTTGCTTTGCTCAAAAGCATTCCCCTTTCAATTGGTGGCCCACTTGCTTAAAAGCATTCCCCTTTCATTTGGTTGCTCAACCACAGAACCCAAAGCCAGCTGAAACTCTGAAATTTGAAAACCATCCCCAGCCCTGAAACTGCAAACTCTTTATTAAACCGTGCTAAAAAAATGCCAAAAAACAATCAGGACAAGGGTACCCCTCACCGACCCCACAGAACCACAATAATGTGATTGTTTTAGGGTACCACAATAATGGCAAGCCCCCGATCATTTCTTGAGCACGCATTTGGCTAAAACTTCGAGCAAGGAATTCCTAAGCTCAGCTGACCTGGCCCCTGTCAGAAACAAGGGCTGCGCCGCTACGCAGGGTTTCTTTGGCTCTCTTTCCTTAGTTGCGTTTTACAGGAGCATTTAATGTGGCTGCTTTTCAATGAAGAGTTATAAAATGAAAAGAAGAAGGAAATCCATTGGGCAGGGCAAGCCTCTTTGATGTTGCAACAACCTCGGGGCCACGCAAGCAGCGCTTGCCAAGAAACCCACGCAAGCGCTTGCCTGCAGCGCTGGCGGGTTTTTGGCCCTGCCAGGAAGGAATCGACATTTTGTCGAGACCTGCAGAAGTTTTTGGGTCGCCGGATTCTCGTCTTCTCTTTGGTTCCCAAGGCAACATCGCGCTGCCTCCAAAGAAGAAACGCGAGGGATGAAGCCCTCACAACTATTACTGGAGCCTTTTCCGAGACAAGATGCAACACATGGGCGACGGAGAAAGCCGGGAATAGCGAGAAGGGAAGGGACTGTCGGGCGCCGATGGAAAAATGGCGACCAGCAACTGGGGCCCGCGAAAATGACAAAACGCCAGCGTACCTCGATGAGAAACAGGTCTTGAAAAACTCGACAAACAAAACTAGGCAATCAAACATGCTATCTAGAGCATGTCACCGAAAACACGTCACTTGTGAACAATTGCCGGCCCTCTGAGCTTCCTAAACTTGGTTGACGTTGGAAGGGGAGCGAACAAATAATAAAGTTTAGCAGTTAAGTGGTTGGATTTCAACCACTAAACCACAATAAGGAACAATGTAAAATGTGTCCCAACAACAACCATGTAAACATCAAGGAGCCCATCCACACTTCAACTTCAAGCAGCCCGGAGCCAGACCCACGATTCCACGGATTGAGCAATACTTGGGCCGCATGTGTTTGTTTAGGTTTTTCAGGAGGTTCCGGGTTTGTGCGCATTCCGGTTTTCTAGGGGTTGAGAAACCATCGTTCTTTCCAACACCGGCAAGAGTTCTCCCTGGTTTTCTAGAAAGATTCGGATCAGTGGAAAGAGTAGAAACGGAAGCCAGCCCTAGAATTTCCCCGTGGTTCTCCCAAAAGACTGTTTTTTGGGACGCCCCTAGGCTCCCCCGCAGCCCACCCCCCTTTCAAGATTCAAGATTGGGATACTCCTGCCAACTCATTCCCAAAATGTGTGACTTCCGGCAGAGCACAGAGACATTTCTTGCTGTCCATTGACCACAAAGTCGTGGGTCTCCTTCAGCCCTTCCCTTTAAACGAGTGGGTCTTAGGTTGGCCCACCGAAGCCGTGAGGAGTCTTCCGTGTTCGCACGTCGAGTCGGCTGAGAGCCGTCAGGCCTTCTTTTTGCGCGCGAAAAGGAATCCCCAGGGAATTCACGGATAAACTCGTTTTACAACCCAAACAACTTGTTTTAGTGGTACATGCAAAGAACATTGTGATCTTTCTGGGATTGGAAGAAACCACTATTCGTCCCCATGGCTGGTCCAAATTCGCTGCATGCTGGGGAGGTTCTTCGGTTGGAATTCCAGACATGTTGCAGAAATTGTGTCATGTGTGTGTGTGTGTGTCGCAACAGCAACTTGGTACGACAGCTCCCACCAATTAACGTGGAACCTGACAGTGGGTCCCTTTCAAAGGATCATGGTCTTCCAGCCCCCTGTCAGGTTCCGCGTTACTTGGTGGGAGGGTATCTCAAACCAAGGCTTGGTTGATGTTGGAAGGGAAGAAGAAACAAGCAGTCAAAAGGGAATTTCAACCACTAAACCACAATAAGCAAAATGTAAAATGTTTCCCAACAACCATGAAGATAACTTGCAAGGACCACCGCCTCGATGGACGAAATCCTGCACCACCTAAGAAACCCTGGAATGATGATTCCCCTGTAAGTACCAACAAACAATTGTTTCCAATACTTTCAGAGTGGTGCAGGATTTCGTCCATCCACAGTAGGGCTTCACTTTTTGCTAAGGTGTTGGATGGCAACCGAAACGGCCCCCATCACCAGGAGGGATCCAACATGCTTCGAAATACATCCTTCTTAGTTGTGTCATGTGCTTTAGTCGTGAAATACGTAGGCACTATCACGATGAAACAATACTCTGATACATTAGATGCGTGGGTGAAACATTCAACGCGCAAAACAACTTGTAACGAGCTGTCAGCATGTCGCTATCTGCCATTGCAGAAAAAGGTGTCTTTCTCTTGAAGTTGTATTGAGTGATAAAAACAACTCTCGTTATTCTAGGAGCATGCCGCACAGTTCCATTTCAGTTTGTCTGCAAACTAGCGAACCTCCCAATCCTTGGTGCCTCTCTGGTTTGCATTAACCACCCAAAGAGTGTTTCCGAAAAATATACGCATAACCACACCCATCTTGATTACTGAAGCCCTCATTGTATACTCACGCCTTTCCTACCCGGAGTGGACAAGTTTACTCCAAGGAACCAGCCCAGCTGCCCACCCCAGTTTGAAGGCAACCATGGGAGTATCGTTCTACCGTTTTGGGGTTGGATTTGAAGGAAACCACGGGGAAATCACGCATTTTAAGGTCAACAAAAACACGCATGCGCAATTGAGGAGGCACCGCATTGTCTGTTTTGGACACGGGGAGCGGGGGAGAAGGCCCCGATTATGAACCCCCCATTTGGGGAGATCCATTGCAAGGTGGACGCAAAGCGATGCTCCGATTCTCCGTGCAAAGGCCTAGGAGCAACCCGAAAACATCTGGACGAAAAATGCCAAGAGTGACTTCCAAACCTAGGTCCCAAGTGGCCAACACATTTCACCAAGTTCAACGGATGCTCCTTTCCAGCCGGGCCAGCTTGTCTGACTGTCCGACAGCGACCAACTTAAAAGGGGCAGTGCGCTTAGTAAGTGGGTAGTAAGCCTAGTTGCCAACCCACATAGGAGACTTATAACCATGGTAAGTAAGTTGTATCCATGGCTATTACCCACCTACTAAGTTCCTGCCCCCCTAAGCAGAAGGACCTTTCGCATTGCCGAATTACCAGCGTCACAGTTTCAGCGAGTCGCTCTGACAAGTCTTCGCGAACGGCGAGGCTTCTTCTTGCGCTTGCGCTTCATGCTCCAAGGTGCTGCGAGCTTTGATGGATTTGGCCATGCGCGCCGACATGCTGCCGCCTAGGACCGAGGTCGGAGTGAGATCGAAGCAAGCGCGTAAGAAACAAAGACCACGGGCATCTGTGTGCCCAAGACACGCCAGCCACAAGGGTTCTGCCTCGTTGGTGGCCAGATCATAAAGTTCAAGGACTTCTGGATGTAATTGAAAGAGCAAAAACCTTAAGTGCTTTTGTTTGCTTCATTTGAGTGGGCAGCTTGAAGGCTTTGCCAGGTTGAAGAGAAACTTTGAGAAGGGGCAGAGTTTGATTGAGGGGCTTCTGCCCAAGGCAGCACGTGCATCAGCACCCCCACACCCCTTGGCCCCAGCGTCAATCACCAGCATCTAAACCTAGCACCCTGCCGTCAATCTCGCACAAAAGCGCCCGCTGTTCCCAGCGTCTGACAGTTCCTGCACCACCCCACAAGCGTACCTGCACCGGCACCTCAAACTGAATGCCCCCAGCACCCGGCTGTCGATCTTGCAGGGAAATGACCACTTGTGTGATACAACAGAAAGGGCTTCCCAAAGACCAACCCCGCATATAAAGGGGGAGATTCCCTTGTATCACAGAAGTGGGGAAAAACTCCGAGTGATCCCACAACCCTGATCTTGCGCCCCGCCAACAGAACCTGCGCCAGCGGCCCTGACACCAAAGCAACACCCGTACCAGCATGCAGCACCCTGGGTCAATCTTGCAAACACACGCCCGCACCACCAGCACCCTCAAACGGCACCCTCAAACAGCACCTGCGCCAGCATCTCAAGCGCACCCGCGCCCCAAACTGTTTAAACGTTTTCCCCCCGCGGCACCCTGCCATCAATCTTGCAAGAATGCGCCAGCACCCCAAAACTGCATGCCCTCTAGCACCCAGCCATCAATCTCCAGCACCTGCACCAGCGCACCAAAACAGCACCTGCAACAGCACCCCAAGACTGCATGCCCCCTAGCACCCGGCCGTCAATCTAGCAAATCGCTTTCCCTCTTTACTAGAAGTTGTGCCCCTTTAGCTTTCAGCTCTGGGAAAAGAACACATATTCATTTGAGCAATGGGAAGCTTTGGCGGTTTGTTTCCAAATGGGACCTCCCTCCCTCAGCTGCGAACACCGAGACCAGCCATCCCAAAGCCCTATACACACACAGAAGCACACGTCAGCGGTGCAAAAACAGAGGCTAGCCAACACAAACAAAAAGCAGGAACATGTGGAGAATCCAAACCCAACACAAACTCAGGAGTTCAAAGAGCCTCCGACACAGGGCAAGCAAGTCACCATTCACAATTTGCTCACTTTCTCATAGGCAGGGTTTCGACCGTCACTGACATGGGGCCCGCGGCTCAACGCAAACTACAATACCCCTCCGTCAGCTTGTAGTTGGCAAACAAGCGCACAGTGCGTAACCTCGCCAAGGTAATGAGCAGGTTTTGCTAGTGCAGCAAGGTCTCATGACATGCACAGTGACTTGGGACCTTGCACAAAAACACAAACACACGCCAAAGCAGGGATCCTTACATTGTACACCTGAACATTGGCTTGCAAATGGTGGGTTCCCTTTGTTTTGGTGGAAAAAACCATGTTTCAAATGGGCAACATGTATTTTTTAAGGAGCCCTGCAAAGCAAACATGGTTTGACACGAGGGACTCCGGCAACAAGAAATTTCAGTCAGCGAGTCGCCGGGACACCACTAGGCCGACAGATCCAATTCGGAATGCGTCCAAGGAACTTCTGGTCAAGCTTGAGCCTGAGGCGGCCACTGGCTCGGTAATGTTGACCCCAGATTCATAAACCCCTGGTTGATTAATCGGGGGGTGTCCCCTTTTAGTGGGGATTCAGACCACTTTTGGAGGGCCAAGAATGGGACGGGTTTATTAATCCGGGGTCAACATGATGCGCGTTTCGCGGCACCCGGCTTCAAGGGCCACAAGTACATCACCAACACCAGCGAGTGGATGGCATAAGTCACAAGGCCGCACCAGTTGGGCGTGCGGAGTGCGACGCTTACAACAGATCAAGCATCTACGGGCCCCGCGATATGACGAGATTTCCCGTTATTACTTGTGTTGACTCAAGTAAACATGGCAACCAACAGGACGTGTACACCCACCAAAAGGACATCAGCCGAACAACGAAAGAACCAAAAAAGGGACACGGCCCACTGAGATGGCAAGTTTCCTCTTGGATTCCGTTTACAAAAAACCAGCCGAAAGGAGGTTGAAAAACCCGTGGACATGAGGTTCTGGGGCCTGTAGCTTGCGCTTGTTAGGCCACCAACCCATCCACCAACCAACCCACCCACCCACACCCGCCCGCCCGCCCACCCACCCACCCACCAACCAACCAACCACCAACCAACCAACCAGACAAACAAACAAACAAGGTGAACTAATGAACCCAAAAGGCTTCAGCCGCAAGGACATAACAACAACCACTTTTCTTTTAACATCAAAACAAAAACGGCGCAAGAGGCCGAGGCCGCGCGCGCGCGCCGAGGCGCTGTTGGAGAGCTCCGTAAACTGCTCCGCGCGGGTGCGGAGCTCCTTGACCTCCGCCAGGTCGGTCACCTGCCTTCGGTTTGCGGGGGGGGGTAGGGTCGGGGGGGTTGGGGGGGCGGGGGGGGGGAGTGGGGGGGGGGGAAGGAGGGTGGGGGCGGTTGGGGGGGAGGGGGGCATTTGCTATAATAGTTTCGGTGGAGGGTAATTGTGGGGTATTTATCGGGCGAGGAAGAATATATATATATATATACATATTGTGGTTAACGCGGAATCCGTTTAAACCACGAAATGAAACCATTGCTTGTTGGACCTTTCGTGGATCATTCCAGGGTTGCTAAAAAATCGCGCGCTTTTTGGGATGGATGAATGAAGAGTTTGTCCATCCACCTCCCTTCCGATCGAGTTGGTGGTTCAAAAGAAGTCCAAACTAATGTTAACCTTGTATTAAAAATTCCCCCCCAATATTAGTCCGGTCCGGGTGACCCCCCCCAATACTAAACAATTCATATCTCAGAAATTACCCCCCAAATGCAAAATGGATCCCAAAAAACCATTAAACCGGTCCCTCCCCCAGATGGCTGATGAGCCTAATATCACTCAATCTCAATGGACACCTCATGAAATTTCATGGAATCCCATTGGGGTGGCCATGAAAATTTGATGGGAAAGTCACTCAATCTCAATGGAAACCTCATCAAATTTCATGGAATCCCATTGGGGGGCCATGCAAACCTGATGGAATTCTCAATGGAAACCTCATCAAATTTCATGGAACTCCATTGGGGTGGCCATGACAGATCTGAAAAGGAAGATCCAGCAATACTAAATCAAATGGAAACTCAATTCCAGATCTCAAAAGGAAGCTCCAGCAATACTAAATCAAATGGAAAGTCAATTCCAGATCTCAAAAGGAAGCTCCAGATTATTTAGGGGGGTCCAAAATCTTGCCCCCCCAAACCTGACCTTCAAGGGGGGGGGGGGGGGTACGGACTAATACGGGGTTAGCATTATGTGCTTGCCACTAAAATGGTCTTCCCAAAAGGTCCAGGAAGTCAGGAAATGGGCCACAGTCGTGTTCCAATGGCTAAAAGCAGCAAAGCCACAGGGTCATTCCCGTTTCGCTTCCGGTCCTCTCTCCGAACAAGTGCATGTCGAGAGTGCGTGGACTCACCCGAAGCGCAAAGATATGGGTGACTTTTTTGGTTTTATAGGGACAGCAATGGAAACCCCACCAATTTGGGGGTCCAAATGGCCATGGGTCAAACTCCCGTACCCTCAGTCAACATCCCAATCCACACTAAAATAGACTAAAATGGGTGGTGCACCTACCCCACAATGGTACCATTGGTTGTGACCCACAGCAAAATCCCCGAAAAAAGACACACCCACTTCATGCAATCTTCAGAGGAAGCTGCTTGCCATCCTCCACCATGTGCTCGATGTGACCCACCTGAAGCTAAGAGTCTGAGATGCACTGATGGTTCGAGGATGATCCCTGTAGCCAAAAGCCAGTGACCTGTGCTTCAGCACAAAACGTGATCTCCTTTTGTTTGCCAAGACCGAATATGAACCAGATGAGCGTTGGTGTTTATTCCTTACAAACTTGCTTGGACATTATTCAAGCTTCCGCGGACCCTTCCGCATCCTTGCCGCGGGCCAAGAGGTCCCTTCCGCGAACTTCCGCGGCACATGTGTTTCATGGGCTTCCGCAAACCTTCCGCCGCGCATAGTTTACAACATTTGCTTCTGCAAGTATTGGCGCAGAAAGGAATGTCATTTTAAGTAAGGTAGTGTTTCGCCGCAGACTGTGTAGGCTTGGGCTCCATTGGGCTACCCATGCCACGTGGCCACTTGCCTGCAAACACAAGGCAACCCTTCCGCGGAGCTTCCGCGAAGCTTCCGCAAACCTTCCGCGAAATACGCCGGCTGTTTCGGTCTTCTTGGCTTGCTGTTGGCAACTGCTCTTCGAGTAAGCGTTGCGCTTCTTGTACTCGGCAACACCTTTCTTCTTCTACTGCAATCGTTTCTCCGCGCTTTTCCATGCACGCACTGAAACATGTAATTTCATATCAGCCGCAAAGCTTCCGCAAACCTTCCGCGCAAATCCCTTCCGCGAAGCCTTCCGCATTCTTCAGCGCATGTGGCGCGGTGCGCTCAAATGTCAAAATCAACAGATTCAAAATTGCTTTGGTTGCGATTCAGTGCATCATATTTTATGCATGACGACTGCACAAGCAGGCTTGCGATGTTGACCCCGGAGCAAAAAACTCCTGTTTATCAATAGGGGGTCTCCCTGGGTTTGGTAGGGATTCATCACTTTTGGAGGGGAACACCCCATATAAATTGGGGTTGATTAATCTGGGGTCAAAATTTTGTACTGCACCATATGTGGAAGCCTGCCCTATTGAAAGGCACATGCGCCTCAAAAGCGCCAAGTTCCCCTCCCCGAAGGAATAATTAAGGGGGGTTGTCAGCCCAGACAAAATTACTTGTGATGGTCGGGTGGAGTTCTGTGGGAAAATCGATGATGCATTGGTCAGGTTACCACAATCTTAGGAGCCCGACAGCGTGAGCCATCTTTTCTCTCATGTCAATTTTGTCTTGTTTTCCGTTCGAGAGCGAAACCCATCAGGGGAAAGCCGATGCGGTATTCTTTTTTGCGAATTCCTGCAACGAATCATGGTCCTTCAGATTCAGCGTGAACATGAATCTGGGTTTGCTCTTATTCCCGACAGGAACTTACAAAAAGTCAGAAGCCTTCATTACTGAGCTCCCTTTTAATTCCAGGAGAGCTTGACTTTTTGCGCAGCTGAATGGGGATTGGAGCAGTGGCATTTTCCGTTGGCCATGTTGGCCTTTGCCACAAAAAAAGAAAACTTGACCTCTCGAGTATACATAGTCCCGCAGGCATTCTCATACAGTTAAACACATGAGAAAAAACACATGTGCTTCAGAAACTACCTTGCTCCGAGCACGCGTTGATCGGTATCCCGGGGGTGCAGGTGATTTTTTGCACTTTGCTATTGTCCTTCCATTTGCTTAAGCCCCCCGGAAAAAAAAAAAAAAAAAAAAACAAAAAAAAAACATCCAGTAGTGATCGCTTCCTCTTAACACCAACAGGGGACAATAGAAAATATTCATTTCAGCACCAATTTGTCATGCAATGATCATGGGTTAGTTATCTTCGGCAGTTGCCGGATTTGACCGTCAAGGCTTCTGACGTCAAATGGGGAACCCCTCCCAAATCGTGGGGAAACCAAAACTCTAAGAGTCTCTAAAAGTCTGAGACAAGCACTCCTTCTGATGGTCAAAGTCCTGCGGCGGTCAGCTAAAACAGATTATCACAGGAGGGTCTCCGCCCCAACTGGTGTTCAAGAGGTTGCAAGTGCCCTAGCCACGGTCAAACTTTACTGTAACCCTGCTGGACACGGACAAATCAGAGCTCGTCCTCTGGATTCTGCGGGATATTCAGAGCTCGTTTTTTGAGGGGACCCCTCCAAATGGACCAAATAGACAAATCAGGACTTGTTCACTGAACCTTCTGGGACTCATGGCTGACAGTTAATGGACATGTGGTTTTCGCGTGCCCCGCGTCATCCGCCGTCTTTTGACCAAGTACCCAAACTTCCTGAGGCCCATGGAAAGAAAGAGGGGGCACATGTTGTTGCGGCAGTTGTTGTTAAACCCAGCGATTCCATGTCAACCTGGTTTTGTAGGTAACCAAGGGAACCGGGTGCTTGTACATACCCCTTTTACATTCCCCTTGGACAAATGAACCCAAAAGGCCTGCTAATGTTTACCCCTCTCCCCAAAAGGGGTATATACCCCTTATAAAGTGGGTTGGAAACGGAAGCCAAGGAACCGGTGTGAACAAGGGCTATGTACTTCCACCCTTTCTCAACTAAAAGGAACATGGCGAAGGTACTTCCACCCTTAGACAAAAGGAACTTGTTCGAAGGGCTACCTACAGTGGCTTGCCTGGCCCTTGAAACCCTCCCACGGATTTTTGCGCCCGCAAATAAACGGCGGTCTGAGCTCGGGGCTAGAAGGAAGCCCAGGATCTGCAGGTGCTTGAAAATGCCGCCGCCCACCTCCAGAATGATCTTGCCAAACTCCTCGAAGAAAAAGCCACTCCCTTCGGTCGCTCGAGACCAGTGGGACCCAACAAACAACATGCTGATGGACACGCCCCTTGAAGAATCCTGCTGGGGCCTTTGCAAGAGGCCCTTCCAGTTTTTTTTTGGAAGACAGATGTCACTTGAAATAATTTCCCGGCTCCCAGGCGGAATGACATCTTTGACACCCAAACTCGAAGGTCTCAAACTTTGGGTTTCTCTTTGAACGAACCTCAAAAAAGAAGATCCAGTGACACCTCCACTTGCACTTGAGAAAAAGGCATGGGACACCAGTGGAACCGGTAGAACCGATGTTCATTCATTCCAGGTCCTCCAGTTTTGGAGGTTAGAATAAGGGTACCCGATTTTTTTTCTGTTGTCTGTTTTAGTACAGGAACCCTCCCCCAAAAAAGGGTGAGCAAGGGCACCTGGCTGCGGGGGGCGCCTAGCATTGTGTTCTTTCTCGCAAATGACAACGCCAGGGGCCTCGAGGCATGGGAAGTGAGGGGAGCCCCAAGACCCGCTGTTTGGCGAGGCATTTTTTAGGATAACCCCATCTGGTAAATGGAAACCAAGACCAAAACCTGCGGTCCATATCCAGGTCTAGTGTTGACCCATACTCATTTGGTAACAACATTTCGCCTGCTAAGAGTTGTAGCGGGTTAAATGGGACCCCCCCACTAAACCAACCAAAAAAACAAAAAACTACTGGAACGGCTGGTCCCGAACCGCCACGGCAACAGGAGGCCAAGAGGGGCCGGCCCAACGCCCCCGCCGGAAAGTCCTCCGAGCCCAAAGTCACAAAGTAGCAGAGCGAGTCCACCGCTGTGAGGCGACCCCGGTAGAACCACTCCTCGGACTTCAGGCGTCCGGACCCCGGTCGCTGGGTCAAAAAACTCATCCGTGCCTCTCCGGCCAAAGTCAGCCTCGCTTCAAATGAGTGGATTGGCCAACCAAAAGTAACCGAACTTGTTGTGTGTGGGTGTGGCTCAAAATTAAAGAGCTGGGGTTGCGCAGGTGTTGGTCTTATTTTCCGTGCAAGGGGCCCAAAAAATGGTACCACTTTTTGAAGTCACAGCCACATCACTAAGATGTTCCAACTCAGGAAGTGAGCACCTTTGCCACCAAAAACGTCTTTCCCAAACAATCCATGTTGTACTAACCGTTGACCCGTTCGGGGATGGCAAATGTGAGTAACCCGGTACATATGGATTCTTTGGGTTTGCCACTAAATGACTCCAGCTTAAGTGACGAAAGTCACATCCAACTCGAGTGAGGTGTGAGTTCACATCGTAAGTTCACGTCGGGATCGCCTTCAAACCAACTAGCGGGAAAGCCGCGGTGCGCAATGATGCTCATTGTGTGGCATGGAAATAGGGGGGTCTGGACAAGCAAGAACTGCCCATCCCCTTGCTTTGGAAAATGTTTCGTGCATCAGCAACAGCTTAAGAAGTAATCTTGCACCCAAACTTCCTGTCACAAGAGTCTTTGCCGCTCTTTCCGCAAGCAAGAGTCATTGCCGCTCTTTCCACTTTTAGCAGTCTGCAGTGCTGAGCCATGTGTCCATTTTGGTTGAACATGGATGGGTGGTTAAGTCTCAGAGACAAGAGTGGGAGAGGAACGAATGGAGGGTTCACTCACTCATGTCACTCCCTTACCTTCATTCACTTATACCTGTCCAGCTACCTCCAAGACTCAGGGAACCAAGTCCCTGGTAAATGGCTCACACCCATCTAGGCCACTGGAACACACCTATTTCTACAAAAAAAAAAAAGCCAAAGGGACACTGTGCTGAGGCTCACCCTGACCGGCAAAACCCAACCCATCGGAAACCCACACGCCAGGCCTGAAATCAGGTCGCACAGGACCTACCCTTCCCCAGACGACTGCTTGGGAAGACTTGGCGACCCGTTTGCAGGATCGGCCTTCTGGGAGCTTCCAAGGGAGTGAAATGAGCCGCGTCATGTGGCCCCTGATTGTCAGAGCATGTATTGTTTTTGGGACACAGAGCGTGCAAGATTGGCGTTTTAGCAAGCCTTTCTGATTGGGAGGGTGCTTGGAAACATGGGGGACCCCAGCAATGGCTGGCTCGCCATCTCTATTGGCAAAAGCCGGTGCCCAAGCTTATAACTCGAATCTTGGCTGCTCGCAAGTGTCATGAATTATTACTGGGAGACGCGCACGTGCATCGCGACCGCAATGGAGCTGTCGAAGGAGGGAGTCGTAGTAAATTTGTCCACTTCTGTGATGCAACTAGATCGAAGGGCTTCCTTTGCAACGACGGATTATCAGCCAACCTCATTCGCACAACTCTGGGTGCTGCGTCTGTCTTTGTAAAACCCCGTTCTGAGGTTGTTTCACCGAAGCACCCAACTCAGAACAACCAACCCAATTTTGACGACATATTGGACACACAAAGACACACACACACACACACAGGGAGGAAGGGGATGAGGGCCTGTAACCTCCAAAGGCCTCAAATGATGAGGTCTTGGGCTCCTAGGATAAGGAAGCAAGAAAGCCCCATGTATCGTTGGCTTGATATTTCACCACCATGGTCTACCCTTTAGGATTTGTCATCATTTCCCAAGGGTCCATTCTTTTCATGTCTTGTCAATCATCTGATTTGGGTCCCAAAGCCATTCTTTTCATGTCTTGTCAACCATCTAAATTGGGTCCCAAGGGTCCATTCTTTTAATGTCTTGTCAATCATCTAAATGTCCCAAGGGTCCATTCTTTTGATGGGGCCAAGGAACCCTAATGTTCCATGTTTTTGGGTTCCCGAGCGAGCCCCAGCCCATGTACAACCGGACCGTCGCCCCTGTTCACCAAAGCACCGCCCAGAGCACAGGCAGGCAAAGGTTGGCAGCCGATAAGGCGGAGCATTCACCTGAGCCACTTGCTGAAAACGCGGGTAGTTGAAGACTAGTAGGCAGTCCCAACCAGAAATGGGGGCGGATATCCGCCTTCTTAATTCTTGGCATGGCCTTGGGTGGCCAGTTTAATACCAGGTTTTGAATGTTTTGGCGAACCGCTAGATAGTTCCTGTTGCCTCTTCCTGGCCGCCTTGTGGAAGGTGCCTGGTACAAAGTGCTTTGAGGGTGCCCAGATTAGCTTAGATTCTTCTCTGTGATTGCTTGTCGTGGTGTCTTTTTCCCCTTGACGGAATATGTGTGTGTGTGTGTGTGTGTTCCCGAGCCCCTTGGACCCTGAGTATGAGGTTCTTTAACCCTCTAAAGGCCTCAAAAATCGCGAGATCTTGAGCTCCTGGGGGTCTGTCTTTGTAGCTTCCCTTCCAACCCTTTCTTTGGTTCTTGGGCTTAGAATCACTTCCGAACATGCATATGGCAACCACAAAAAGTAACCGAAATTGAAATGGCCGACTAAAATGGTCCAAACCCAAAAAGTTAGTTCTTGAAGGACTTATGATGCTTCCCCCTCAACGTGTTTGTTTGTGCTTTGCGTGCTCGGCAGCGTAGAGGGAGAACACCGTTTGGCGAAGATTTGCTTGGGGCGGGCGTGTCCGCTTTTCGCTGCTTTACCAAACCCTGTCAGGATCAGAAAATAGCGTTGTTCAGCTGGGCTGAAGTTCCAGAATCCTCTACCATTGCTTTTGAACATACCGGGAATCTTGCCATGGGAGTGTTGGGGTTTGCTCAGAAAGTATGTTGCTGGGTGCTTGCCGAAGTGAGGTGGGGCTTCGAGCCGTATAAAACGGCTCGAAGTGATTCTTATAGCAGTACAGGCAGAACCCACCGTCACAAAATCCGCATATGAACAGCCCGGGAAATCATGATGTCCCAGAGTGGTCCTGTTGCCACCTGTTTTTGGGGCAGTTTAAAACAAGCCTTTTCTTGCTTGACGTTGGAAGGGGAGCAAAAAAATGAGTCTTAGCAGTTAAGTGGGGATTTCCCACTAAACCACAATCAGCAAAAATGTAACATGTTTCCCAACAACAACCCTGTTTTGCCAACTCAGTATTTCGCCCAACATCTCCGCTGCTCTCCGAGAGTAATTTCGCAGCAACTGCCTAAAGTGTGAGGTCGATATTTTTTGGCCGCGTAACTTTCTGTGGCTATGTCCCCTTGTCCAGGCAGGGAACAAACAAAAACAACAAATATATCTGGGCTGCCCGTTTTCTGATCCCCCGCGAAAAGTTAATTTAACTTTTAGTGGGTTAAATGAAAACTACCACTAAACACTAAAAGGCTAAAAAGCTATTGGGATGGCTGGGAGCCACCAAGAAACTCTTGCAAAGCCATAGCAAAGGGCGCCATTGCAGCCTATGAATATGGGCAGGTGACTGGCAATTCAGGACCAGCAAAGGTCCATAGGACAACCGAGAAAAGGACAACCGAGCCAAGCGCAAGTGGTCTACCCCTAAACAAGAATTGAGAAGGGTGGATATCCACCACCTCTTTGACTTCCAGTTGGGACAAGATAAGGTCAAAAGGTCCTTTCGCTTTGAGCAAGTGAGAAATCAAATCAAAGTCAAAAGGATTGAAAAGGGAACTCTCCAACAACACTAGCCTTGACCTCAACAAAAAAACACCGGGCTGATTCCGAACGGATTTCACCGGCCGAGTGTCAGCTGTAGTCCTTCGCCGCGTAGTTCATGCAGCCCTCTTGAAGCATAAGGACCTGACCCGAGAACCCGACAAAGAGATGCTTCAAATGGTTCAAAAGGAATCCTTTTCAGGAAAACAGTGTCGGTGAACAGAATGATGTTGTTTAATAGGGACCAACTGGTGGACATCATTTCATGTAGCTGGTGATGTTTGTCCATCAACCACTTGCGAGTGTGACAGTGTGAGTGTGCGTGTGTGCATTTGTGTTTTGAGGACACCCGCATTTTGGGTTGCTTTAAAGAGAAGTCAAGAGGAACATCGCTGTACTTTGACTCATACCCGAATGCCAACAGGCATGTCCTGCAGGCACAACGTTCAACATGCGTGCCAGGGTTTAGATGCAAGAAACAGAGGTGAGGCCGCCCAAAGGGGGAGTGCAATGCCTGTTTTGTTGGCAGTTGCAAGTAAACCAACACTCAAAATCCGAACCTGCCAAACCGAGCACGGCATGCCACGGGTCTGCCTTTTTTGAGGCACTGTTGGACCATGCAGCCTGCAAAAGGTGATACCATGCATAGCGAGTTGAGACACCCGAAGCTGCCTGGTGGCTCCAAATTCTCAATTGTTCTTTGGTTTGACCGGGAGAACTTTTGGCTTTTGGGCATTGGGGAATATTGCTTAATTATTTTTTGCGGGTGGGTTCAAAGAGAATCAATCTCTACTAGAATGGGGAAGGTACCCCTAGACTTTTTGTTGAAGGTACCTGATTTTGGTGGCTTTAAAGGAAACTAAGGGAAACCCAGCAACGGGGACCACGGGGTTTCCCCTTCAAAAGTTGCCGTTTACTGGTGGCTTCAACAACATTGCCACCTTTGGAGGTCAACATTTGGGTATGGCTCAACATTAAACAGGAGGGGCTACGCAAGTTTTAGGCTTGGGTGGTACCGGTTTTTTGAGCCACAGCCATTTGGGGAAATCGAGGGACTGACAGATCTCGGTTACCAAAGCCATATTGCCTTCGATTCGGTGAGACTCTCTTTCGCGCGCGTTGAACCGGCTTCCACTGGGACAGGGCTTCAAATGACATTGGTTCAAACAAATGGTACCTTGGCTTATGGGAACAAAGTCCAAAACCGGTCTAAACCCGGCTGGTTAATTTTGAGCCACGCCCAAATCTCACATTCAAAAGCCGTCCGCCGCATTTGAACAGGACCATATGTCTCATGCCGGTGTCCCCTTTTTGCTGGAGGCTCTCCTGGAAAAACAATCCAGAATCAACTACCAGAATTGGTCGTCTCAAATCCACTGGTACTTGTGGCATGCCAATCCCCATCGCCCCCCCCCCTGTCTCCTGCGGTACACAGAAAACCACCTTTTCAGTCTCATATTTCAACACCAAAGTACCTTTGCAGCCTACCCTTCCATGAACGTGCAACCTGCCTCAGGCTCTGAGGGATCCTGGAACACGATCTTCCTTTTAAGGGACCCTGTAGTGGGTTCCATGTTGGGCAGGATGGCATTTGGAGACAGGTGCCGACACCTGGCTCGCACGTTGGATCTCCTCACATCCGATCCCACAAGGGCATGACTCTTGGCATGAATAGTGACCGTGGGCATCATTTAGGTGGGTGTTTATGTCCACCAACCACTTTCCAGGGGGTTGCTTATTAAAAATTCATGGCCACATGCCCAGTATTAAACTGGTGGACCCAGAGCCATGTAAGGAAATACAAAGGCGGACATCCGCAGCTATTTGTGGCAAGGGGATTGTCCCCTACCAACCGGGTCATCTACCCGGGTGTTGAGCAAGTGGCCCAAATGGGCTTGCTTCTGATGTTTCTCTGAGGCTCGGGTCAAAAGGAAATCCTTTTTAGGAAAACAGCGAACAGCTGGATGTTATTTGCAGGGGACCAACTGGTGGACATCATTTAAGCTGGTGTTGAGTAAGTTGCAGGCTGCGGGTGAAAAATAGGTACCCAAAATGGAGAAGCCTCGAAAAAAGGAGCCAAAGACTCAAATTCCTGCGGCTCGCTGGTGGCGAAGAAACAAATTTGACGCCCACGTTCGTTGGGCCCAGGTCCCCCGCCTGCTGGCAGGCTTGGCCTGGGATGAAGGCGTCCTGCCCGGGGGTGCAGCCCTGCTCCGCCATGGCCCGGTGGCTCAGCAGCCGGAAGAGGAGGCGACCCTCGTCCTGACACAGCACTCGACCAACCACTCGGTTGCGTTTTCTCGGCTCCCCCTGCGAAAAGCGAAAAACTGTTGGTGGTTTTAATTGGAAAACCCAACGAAAAGCTCCGTTTGGTTTAGACCCCTAGAAGAGACAATTCCAGATAGTGACAAACTCCTTGTAAATCCAACAAGGGAAAATGAAACAAAATTATTCTTAATCAAATGGAAGAAAGGCAAAACCAGGCACCCCAGCACTCAACCACTGCCTTTTTGGTCACTACCAAAGCAGATCTCTTGTGGACACGGGCAATCCAACTGTTGGGGGGCTGGGGGGCGCCGGATTTCGATTCGTCCCTGTTTTTTCTCCGGAAACCGCAAAAAAAAAACATGTACGGGGGGGGGGGGCTGTTTCGTTTGGTTGGTTGACTTTTGAAGGGAAGCCCTTCTGATTTTGGAGGAAAGGGCCTGGCCGCTTGGGGTTTTGGGTTGGGGGGGGGGACATGAGCCGTGCCCATGTGCTGCTGTTGTTGTCGTCGTCGTCGCTGCTGCTGCTGCTGCTGCTGTTGTTGTTGTTGGTGGTGTTGTTGGTGGTGGTGGTGGTAGTGGTGGTAGTGGTGGCGTTGGTGTTGTTGGTGTTGGTGTTGGTGTTGGTGTTGGTGTTGGTGTTGGTGTTGGTGCTGCTGCTGCTGTTGTGGTTGTGGTTGTGGTGGTTGTGGTGGTTGTGGTTGTGGTTGTGGTTGTGGTTGTGGTTGTGGTTGTGGTTGTGGTTGTGGTTGTGGTTGTGGCTCTGGCTCTGGTTCTGGTGGTGGTGGTGGTGGTGGTGGTGGTGGTGGTGGTGGTGGTGGTGGTGGTGGTGGTGGTGGTGGTGGTGGTATGGGTGGTGGTGGTGGTGGTGGTGGTGGTGGTGGTGGTGGTGGTGGTGGTGGTGGTGGTGGTGGTGGTGGTGGTGGTGGTGGTGGTGGTGGTGGTGGTGGTGGTGGTGGTGGTGGTGGTGGTGGTGGTGGTGGTGGTGGTGGTGGTGGTAGTGGGGTGGTGGTGGTGGTGGTGGTGGTATGTTGTTGTTGTTGTCGTCGCCGCCACCTTCGGCGTTGTTTTTTTGAAAGAGAAGTCCGTCCAAAAAAGAGGACACGACAGCTCCAGCAAAGGGACATACCCTCTCAGTGGAACCCGCCTGTTCTCTTTCAGAGGAACATGGTCCAAACAAGGATCTTCAGTCAGGCTCCATGTTAGTGGATGGGGGCTAACAAATGCCTGAGGTTGCTATAATCATGGACCTTCAATGGGGGGCTATGGAGGGGGGTGGGGGGCTATCACCCGTGAGACCCTCCATACAGCCCGGCTTACCCTAGGCTTGTCCAGGCGTCGGACTCCAACATGTTTCTACCACAGGGCTTTCTGGTGGGAGGTACCTTACGAGGAAATGTGTGTTGCCACTGGGCTGGTCTTCCTCCCTGATCAACAAGAAACTCACCAGTTGTATGTTCAAGCTACATCCGACTGCTAGATCTTCTACCCCATAGAGTGGCACAAACTAACGTCCACTCTGACCCATTCCTTTGGTTGCTAAATTGTTACCCCTCTGCAAAACAAACATCAACTTTGTGTGGGTCCAATGATGCGGAAAAACACAATTTCCCAACAAGTGCACGTCCAAAGATCCAACCAAATAGTATCAAGATCCATCCAAAGATCCAACCAAAGATCCAACCCAAGATCCAACCAAAGATCCAAGTAAAGTTGCGAGACCCAAGGTATTCATTCGCATGACCCATGACCCATGCCCGTCCCGCGCCCAAAAAATCCACGTCTTCGCCTCCTCCCAGACCGGCCAAATGCCGAGGCCCTCGAGCATGGGCGCAAACATCTCCTCGTGCAGCTGGATCTTGAAGCGCTCCTGACACGTGTGTCAGCTACACCTAGGTCCTCCAGTAGAGAGGTTGGAACAAAGGTAGCCTACTTATTTTTTCCAGTAGTCTATGCTAGTAGGGGAACCCTCCCCAAAAAACAGGGTAAAAGCGCACCTAGAGACCATTCAAAGGCATTTTCAGGTACCCTCCCACAACGATTCCATGGAAGTGCACAGACCCCTGTAGAAAGACTCCGTTCTTTTTGGAAATGGGATTTGTGCACGTCCATGTTAGTTGGTGGGAGAGTATGGGTTGTGGAGGTACGGAGGATATAATAACCGCGGATATATAAGGGGCAATGCCTTGCCAGCTTCTATTGCCATATAAGAATCCATACCTCCAAAATCCCGCCAAACGCCCCTGAACCGGGAGGCACTGTGACAGTGGTTATCACAACTCCCTCAAGGGTAAGTACTGCACGAGGGTTTTTCTCGTAGATGGCACAATTGATGGCAAGCAAAGGGGGGTGGCTAACATGGGCTGATTTTTGTTTGCCATCTACGTTCACGCAACTGTATCCACTAGCCTCCTGCTGAAAGGTAACAACCCGCTGATTGGTCAGAACCCACCCATGGGTCTTAGCAAATGCTCAGAGCCACCACCATCACTTCCGTGGATAACTCGCTGGTTCTCAGTAGACAATCTCCGCAAGTTTTAAACCACTCCAACCAGGGTACCCTCAAACAAACACACCCATAGGTACGAAATGCAGGCATGTCCGTGCTGGGAGCTAGCATTCATGTTGGTCCTGGAAACGGGTCTAAGGATATTGACATGTTCTGTCCCGCAGAAATCGTCAGGTGCAGAAGTATCGGGGGTCTCCGAATTCCTCAAATCAAACGGATGAATCTTTTGGTAGAGTCTGATAAAACTGCAACCATTGGAGGTTCAACAAGTTAGATATGAGTTGATACATCTGGCGCGATGCGGTGTGCCAACTTGCCACCTATCATTTTCCATGGGAAACAAGAAACTCTTTGGCTTTATGTTCCACCAGCCAAAAGCACAGATTCATAGTCGAACTTTGTGCAGTGGAAGTGTTGGTTGGTCTGGTTGTGGAAAAATGAGTTCCATCCAGAGACTGGAAACGTTGGCCTGGGTCCATATCAACGCCCCTGCCAGCTTTGCCGCCCTGAAGCCGACGGGTCTAGGCCGAGTCTCTGGAATGCCCTCGATAAGGCTCACCTGTGCAGCTTTGGCCGCGATGGATGTGGAAAGCAACCCTTTCCCAACTTCCTGAGTGGGACTGGCCGAAAATTGTCCAAATCATGCCGAAATGACTACTTTGTCACTTTCAACAAGGGAACCCTTGGCATCACGAGTTTTCTACAACCATGGGGAACCAAAATGGGCAAACAGCTCAGCTGATTCTGACAATAGTTTCATGGGAAACCTGCAGATTGACGTAGAACCTTAGAGGAACCGCCTTTTTTGGGCCCCCCTTGGTCGTCTGCCAGGGAGTAGTGCACCCTGAAACATGGCTGGTGGGCATACATCTTTAAAATAACATGCTGTTGGCAACAGTTGGGGGAGTTGGGTCAAAGACCACGGTAAAAGGGGGCCTCAACAGGACACCTTCGAAAAAAAGGAACAAAACTTGACAACCACCCCTGCCATTACCCCCGGCTGAAGTCCACCTATCTGCACAACCTGTGCCCTTCACTTCCAAAATATGTGAAATACGGGACCTCCAAACAAGCTCTGGATGGACGATATCCATTTCGCACCACCTAAAAACCCATGATGATTCTCCTTCAAATCCCAGCAGACAATGGTTTCAACCACGATTTCAATATGGTGCGAACGGATTTCGCAACCATCCACAGTAGCTTAGGCCCCGTTGAAAAAAAATTAGGAATATTCCCTGTGGTGATAGATCCCCTTTGAAGAAAACAGAGAAACAAAACGCAAACGTCTTAAGCACATGGAAGGAAAGCAAAGACATGGCAACGAAATAATAGATGTCCCGACGCTGTTCCAAATTTAGCCTACCCATGTCTACCCCAAATATAACCCTCCGTTCGCTTTAGCCCCCTGAGAAAAAAAAAAAAAATCCGGTAGTGATAGATTCCCTTTAAAACCAAAAGCAGAGACTTAACCAACAAAAACACTTAAGCAAATGAAAGTAACATACCTTTGGACACCAATCTCAACGGATGGCCGACGGCGGCTGGCAGCTCGATTTGCTCCGCCTCGGTCTCTTTGAGCCGCACTCGGAAGGCGCCCTCTTTGCGCAAGGCCTCCTGGGAGGCTTCGGCAGTGCCAAAATTTGGTGGTTGGTGGGCTGTTTGGGGGGGGGGGTTGTTTCTCACTTCCCAAGTTGACTGGCCAAAAAAAGCTTGAACTTTTTATTTACCACTAAAATGGTCTTTCAAAAAAGTTTAAAGTCCAGCAACTCAGGAAGTGAGGTTTGGGGTGGGGGTGGGGGGTTGTTTGGGGGGGGGAAGGGCGGGTGCGAGGAAAATGCCTTGTGCAGACTCGGACCTCAAAACAAACATACTCCCCAAATGAGGGAGGTTGCAAAAAAGGCCCCAAAACATGGGGGGGGGGGGGGGGGCGATTTGGTCGCGCCATGTACCACCACTGGAAAACCAGCCACTCGTCTTGCGGCGTCTTACACCTGAATTTATCATCTGAAGGTTTGTACAAGTGGTATGTGGATGTTAGCTATCTCCAAGTCACATAATTGCGCTTTTGGGTTGGTTCATCTCAGATGCAACCCTTGCATTGCATTAGGTCATGCTCCAGTTGCTTGTATTTTGACTGCCCCCAAGAGCGAACGGCGCATGAATGCGCATGAGATTGGAACTTCTTTAATGACAACTGTTGGTTTTAAAAGGGAAACCCAGAGGAAAACTGCCCCCTAAAGAAGACCCTTCACGCACAAGACTTGCTGCTGGCTTGCTTCTGTGATGTCTTGGAGTTTGCTGCTTGTTGCTGCTTTCACACTGGTGAATGGGGCAGTGTTGCTGTTGGTTCAGTAATATGAGTTCAACCCTACTACTGAAATAACAAGGACTCTGTCCCTATGGAACCTGCCCCATGGTAGTGAGCCATACCAGTTTCTGTGATAATGAAGTGCCCATGATCTAATCTGGACAAATTACCATCATTGAAACCGACCTTCGAAACGAAACGAAACGGCCCTCGCCACGGGTGAGCTCGACCTTTCAGTGATCGGATTTGTTTTGCCCATATCGCTCATGAGATTCCCCTTCTCACTTTAGCGGAGACTCCTGAACAAATTCCCGCACTTTTGTATTTGCAATGTGATTCGCTCACATGTGATTCCCTTGAAAAACAAAAATAGAAAATCGACAATGTTCCAAAGCAAATGGACTCACTTCCTGAGTGGATGGCCCCCCAAAAACGTCCAAACTTTTTGGGTGCCACTAAAATGGTCTTGCCAAGAAGGGAACTAAGGGAGTAAGACATTACAGACATCACAAGTTGGTCAAAGCCTCATGCCGCTGTGTCGAAAAAGAAAGAACGTCAACGTCGGGACGCTTTCGGTATCGATACCGAGGCGGCACAAGTTGTGGCGTCCAAAGGGCCGCTGCTTTGCTGGAAAACTCCGCACAGGACCTGCACAAATCTGCCATTACAAAAAGTGATGTCCGCAACCTGAAATATCCCAAGTTAAGGATCTTTACCATTACCCCCACCGCCTGCACCTTGCCGTAGAGATCGACTGAAAGGTTCCGCTCGATGAAAAACCTCATCTTGCTCATGCAGTTTGAGGATCTGGGCAAATGGGTGCTTTTTTGTAGGTACACCTTTTTGGCGGTTCTTGAAGGAAGGACAACCCCATTTTGGGGGTACACTAAAAATGACAAACGCAAATCACTATGGTTCCCAGAACTACCCGGACCCTCAAACGATGGATGTGCACCACCTTTGGATATCAGGTAATCACTCGAATAAATAGCACATCGGACATAAGGAATCTCCCTGGGATCTGCTTGTACCAAATGAGCTCACTTTAGAACTTGCCACAAGATTTCAACATGATGTCCATTGCCTTTAGCTATGAGGTTGCGACTCATTGAATACATCTCATCTGCTCTTGTCTCTCTAAGGCCACTGCAGCATAGGGTAATGAGATCAACCACACCACGGTGAAAGTAGATGGCACAATGTTCCATGCGGTTAAGCAAAGGGGCTGACTAAACCCAACTGAGGGAGATTGTGCGATCTACTTTGACCCAACTGTATCTTAAGACTGCATCCCAAATTCTATGCACACGTCGCATCACCAGGGCGGGCGTCATAACAAGGGACTTCTTTCATGTTTGCGTCGAAAGCATTTGTCCGGTGGGTGGACGGCATACATTTAAATGGCAAATATCAGACCATGTCCAAAACCTGAAATAAGGCATCCCCTAAATGACCTTCATCACGATGAACTCGTTTTCCCGCAGGCAAGCTCACACCTCGCTTGAAAAGGCACATCTTTAAAATCACCCTCTCGGGAAACGGACCCCTGTCCCATAGACAATATAGAAGTATGCATATATATATATATACATAGAGACTTGGTTGCTGTTGACCCCTCCGCAAAAAAGTTTCTCTTTTTTGTGGGTCCAAAGGAAACCCCTTGATCCCTGAAAAAGTTCAAGCCTACAGATCCAACACAATAGCCAGGTACATGTTTCCCTACTCTGTGTATGGGAATTTAGCCCTCTCTAATTTGGCGGTCTGGCAAAAAACATATTTCTCCATGGTTCCCCAAGAGGGTGTTTTTGGGACGCCCATAGCTCCCCCCCATCATGTTGACCCCATATTAATCAACCCCAGTCTGTAAGTAGGGGGGGTGTCCATTTCTGGGTGAAGCGGTTGGAATCAGACCACTTTTTGGAGGTGCCAAAAATCACGATTAGTAAATTGGTTGGTTGACTACTATGGGGTCAGCATTACTGAGTTTTTGGACTTCATACTTTCTCGGACCATTCCCAGTTCCGCTTCCCAGTTGTGAAAGGCTGAAAAAATGGACCTCCCCTCCCGTCTCACACCCCTCTCACCCCCCCCCCCATAGCTTTCTCCTGCAGCGAATTCATTTCTTTAGGGGTTGATTCCCCATTCTTTCAACCATCGTTCTTTTCAAAAACCAGCCGTTTTCCCTGCGATTCCGGAGGTTTTCTAGAAAGAAGGATCCCTGGAAAGAATGGAAATGGAAGGTACCCTAGAATTTCTCCGTGGTTCTCCCAAGAGGCTGTTTTTTGGGACCCCCTCCCCCTTAGCCTAGCCCATGCCCCCCCTAGCCCTCCACAGGCGGAGGCGCTGGAGCATCTTGGACTGCTTCTGCATGTTATCCAAGCGGGCCGAGCGCAAGGAGCTCACCGTGGCGGAGATGGAGCCTAAGCTTCTGCACAGCATGGGGATGGGTGATATATATATATATATATATAGATATATATGGGTGATACTCTTATAAAAGTAAATATGTGTAATATTTATATACCTGAACCCTCAAACTACCCATAAAAAATAAAATACACAAGTCCAGGTAAATATATATATATACATATATATATATATATACATATGAAGTTCCGTCAAAATTTGCTGTTCACAGTAAGTACGTTCGAATTTAGAGTGTCCCCTATCGTTTTCCAGCGTTTGGTCTGTAAAACAACGGTATCGTTTTTGTTGAGAGTCCCCTATCGTTTTCCATGGTTTCAAGCACCTTGAGCGCTATGGATGTCCAAGTGTAGACACCGCGCTTCATATGTCTGTCAATACTGTGGATGTTTGCGAAATCCGTTCGCACCACTAAATGAAATCATGCTTGAAACTCGATCATTCCAGGTTCTAAGGGGGTGCTAGATTTCGTCAATGCGCAGTGTGGGTCCGTGTCTTCTTTGGACGGTACCCTTAGCTTGGTAAGGGAATCCACAAGGAGAACCGAAATCCATGCAGAGTCCTCTTTGACACGTACCCGCATTTGCTTGATTTGGGGGGCCCTGGATTGCCGCAGGGCAATTTGCAGGTGACATCTCAAAAGGAGAAATTTGTTGGACCTCCAAAAGGATAAATTTGAGGGGGCCTGAAGGATGGTAATACGGGTTTGCGTTTTGTTCGGCGCCCTGTGCGTCCGGATATCTCGTGATGCAATGCGCTACCCGGCTACGAATGATCCAGTCGGCTTCTGTGTTTGGGCGTTTTTTAAGTACTGCTGAAACTCACCAGTAGGAACGGGCACATTCGGCGAGTGTCAAGAGTGCCCTTTGCCAATGCGCTTCTCTGTTTGTTTGTTGGGTTCTCTGAGGCGGAGTCTTAGAAACACACATACTGTGGATTGACGAAATCCTGCAGCACTTGGAAACCACGGGAAACCATTGATTGTTTGGTATTTACAGGGGATTCATCGTGCCAGGGTTTCTTAGGTGGTGCAAGGTTTCGCAACCATCCACAGTATGTTCGTGCTGGTGTTGCCCAACATGGCAACAGTGCCTTTCCCTCCGCCAGGCATACAATGCCAAGGCACCGATGAAGGAGGAGAAGACGCCCATCGCCAACAAAATGATCCAAATGGAGAAGAACCTCGCCCAAGAAGCTCCAAAGCAAAATGTGGGGAGTCAAGGCATCCAAGCACTACCACAGGTTCATGGCCCCTGGTTTTGTGTATACTCCATTGTTTGAGGTCATGAAGACTATGTGCAGGAACGAAGTCGCTTTCGCAATACAAGGGAAGGATCAAGGATTGCCTTCAAGCACCCCAGCTATGTCCCAAGTCCAGGAAGCCGAGCTCAGCCTTACGTCTTGGGGCCATGCACCGTTTCGCTGATGGATACGTTTCTCAGAACGAAAATACACACAAACAGGTTTAACAAATGACCGCATGTATGGATATCATAGATACAGGCTTTTAGACAGCAAAATCCTACATGGCCAGGCAACTACTGTAGCCGGTTGTAGTCAACTTACAACGTGGCGCAATCAACGCATGCACGTCAAACACTTGGCTGACCATGCGACTGCGCTTTGAACCAAATTTGATTTGTGTCCAAAATGAAACCGGTTTACGTTTTATCGTGCCACGCCTTACACATGGTGCTTGTGTGTATGTGTGTGTGTGTGTGCCCGTGTTTGCGCAAGTTTCCGGGACACAACTCATAAGTATCACGTGTGTGGGATCTCGAGGGTGCCGTGAACCCTCCTTCATGTTGCTTGAAATTATATAATGGAGAATCACCGGCAAATCGGACACCGGTACCCCTGTCCTCTTGGCTTTGTACAATGCGTACCCTCTTTAGGAAATCCGGTTTTAGGCGTAGCCTACCCGGCAAAAAATCGCGCGGGTACCTGCAGCTTGATTGGGAGTTGTTCGCAGAAATAGGGCCCCTTGAAAGGCTCGATTTTCAGGTACCCCTTGGATTGGTGGTTTGGATTGGATTCTGACACAACACAAATTCATTAGGCTTGCTGAAAAGGCCAACCACTTTGAACATCTCTTATGGTGCCACACGGGAAAATTCAGTCCAACACTTTGTCGCTGGATGCAAGCTCGAAGCATCAGCGACGTTTTGAACACAACAACGCAGTGCCAAATCAAAGCGTGCTCAGGGTGCCGGGACGCCCCCTCACTTCTGGAGTGGATTGGCCAGAACAAGCCCAAACTTTTTGTGTACCACTAAACTGGGCTGCCATCAGATCCCCTGCTAAAAGTTTAACTTTTAGTGGGTTAAATGGACACTACCACTAAACCCTAAAAGCACAAAAGGCTAAGGAACCAAACGGCTGGGGGGCCACCAAGTACAACGGTCCAAAGCCAAAGAGGATAGAAAGTCCGAAACGGAACTCAGGGAGTGAGCATACTTAGCTTCTGTCAAGACTGGGGATCTCCCCCCCAAAAAAAACTCCAAAGCTGTCCAACTTGCGCAGACTGCTTTGCGAGCTCCTCCCATTTGAATATTCGAACCTACCTCGCCAAGAGAAACCTAGTCAGAGTTGGGCTCTTCCACAGGCAATGTTTAAGCCATGTAAGTAACATGCATGCAAATTTGGTGCACTGCCAAAATTGTCCCTGTGGCCACAAGAGTGGCCAAACAGCTTAAAAATGTTGCTTCCCACATTCAATTGGTCCCAACAAGTATGAAGTCCGGACACCCGGTCATGGTGACCCCATATCAACCACCCCCAGTTTATTAATAGGCGGGGTGTGTTCCCCTCCAAAAGTGATGATTCCTCACGAAATCCAGGGAGACCCCCTAAAAAACTGGGCTTGATTCATATGGAGCCAACCACTCAAATCAAACGGGCAGTTTAATTCCTTCCTTCCCACCAGCCACTCCGTGCCCTTCCCCATTCCGACCATTCGGACCTCCGCGAGACGGGGAGAGCCGGAGCCCGCGCCGCGCGCCTCTCCAAGCCATTCCCCGGCGCGATGTTGTTGGTGGCCGGCGTGAACTGCGTCAGCGCCCAGTGCACCGAAGCCACGTAGACCTCACCGAAGCTCGCCTCACAGAGCCGGGCACTGGGCACTGGCCGGCGGTGCCCGGCCGTCCCCCGATCCCCCGGTTTTGGTTGGCTTGTCCTGTAACCTACTTGGGAAATGACTAGGACAATGCTAGAACCATGGGGGCTTTGTAACAGTAACTTTAACCCCACTAAAGCATAAAAAGCCAAAAAGGTAAGAGGATGGCTGGGAGCCACCAAGAGAAAAAAACGGCCTTCCAAAGTGTCCCTCGCACTAAAATAAAGGAGTGAGTTGGTCCAAAAATCGTCTAATCTGTTCATGTTTACCACTAAACTGGACCTTCAAAAAGGCCGGTCAAAAAATCAAAACCTGGGACACAAACCCCAACCACTGCTTATACAAACCCCAAACCCCTCCCCAATGATATTGGACAGCTTGAATTGTTTGACATGGGAAAAAACAGTTGTTTGGGGGTGCCTGCGGAAAGGGTGCTGCGGAAAAAAAATGGAAACAATGGATTTCACTGGCAAATGGTAAGAACCAAGCTTGGAACACATGAGCGTTGGGGTTGATTCCCCATTCTGTTCAACCATCGTTCTTCTCAAAATCTAGCTGTTTCTGCAGGGGCGTTTCTTTTAGAAAGAAGCATCCTTGGATAGAATGGGGAAGGTTCCTAGAATACAGCTCTCTTTCAGGCGCACTTGCGTCTCCTATAGTTCAAACCTACTGTGGATGGTTGCGAAATCCACTTCGCACCACCTAAGAAACCCTGGCATGACGATTCCTCTGTAAACACCAACAAACAAATGGTTTCCCATGGTTTCAAGTGGAGCAGGATTTCGTCCACCCACAGTATCACCTCATGGGAGGTCACTTCAAATGGGTGTGTCCATTTTGAGGGTACCCCTTGTTTGTGGGCAAGGGAATCTAAATAAGAAACCACACAACGGTTGTTTTTATGTCTAAAAAAAAGACAGACCCAAATTGGTGAGTTCAGGGGATACCACCTGGGCTTATTTGTTTTAGGCTAACCCACAAAAATGTTGGTTTTTCTTTTGGATTCCCTTTGAACACCACACACACACATGGGATACCCTTGAAAGACACACCGATATAAAGTTGTATAGTGCTCAAGCCACCCCTTGGGGAGATTTAAGAAACCCTAGCCTCTGATGATTCCTCGACGTAAATGCCAACAAACACTGGTTTCAACCATGGCAACTCATTTCGCGGTGAATCGGATTTCGCGTCCATCACTCAGTTGTTCAGTGACCCTGGTAAAAAAAGGGAACCCTTTTTTGGGAAGACCATTTTTAGTGGGGCAGCCACCAAAAAAAAGAAAAAAGGGTGCCACTGAACAACTGAGATCAGTACGAAAGGCTTCCGAATGACCATCCCTTCCAAACTGCGGCCTCCTCCATGTCCATCAGCATCACCCACGTAACGCCGTTTTCCCCACTCCTTTGGGCTCAGCTCTGGGCGAAAAGGGCATAGATACACGCGCAAGCATACACGCAAACAAACAAACAAACAAACAAACAAACAAACAAACAAACAATCAAACAAACCAGCAATTAAACAATCAATAAAGCAACCGCACAGACACGCACACACAGACAAACAGACAGACAGACAAGCAGACCGTCAGTCAGTCAATTCAACCCACCACTCAATGCACAATTCAAATCCATCCAAACTCAACACATGTTTGTCCAGTGGTGAAATCACAGGCGGACAAAAACAAACATAATAATAAACAAACAAAATAATACTACTATGGTCCTCCGTCTCCGGGTTATTTCTCTGTTTTTCCGTTCTCCGGGATATTTCCAGGAGACCCTCTGAAAACTAGGAGTTTCAGGTGTTTCAAATGCAGGAATCAAAAAGCAGGAGTGGCTTGCAAAAGGCAGGAGTGAACATCAAAAACTAGGAGTGGTTCTTGGGGCAAACAATTGGATTCAAGTTTTGTTGTCTTTTTTCGTTGTTTGGACGCGCAATTGTGCAACTCTGTACACTATCCCAGCAATTATGCAACTCTGCACTGGAGTGGGTATTCCACTGATTTTACTACGCACACTCCGGAAACTCCGTCTTTTTTGACTTGCGGGAGTTTGCGGGTTTTTGCGGGAGTTTGCGGGCTTTTTGCGGGTGTTTTGCGCTGAGTTTCAGGTGTGGTGCTTTCCGGTTTTGCCAATTTGTCGCCCAAAGGCAATACTTCCGAATTCAGAATAATTCTGAATTCTGAACAAATAATTCTGATTCAGGGGAACGATTCTGATTCAGGTCAATGATTCTGATTCAGAACATGAATTGGAGAGTTCCTTCCGTCAAGTACCGAATAATTGCGATTTCTAGAAGTTTCAGGCGTGCAAACCATTTCCAGAAGCGACAACCAATTTCTAGGGGTTTTACCTAAAAAACCAGGAGTTTGAAAACTCCGTGTTTTTTCACTGAGACCCTCAAAAAACTGGTAGTCTCCGGATTTTACGTGAAATTTCCATGATTTGGAAGATATAATAATAATATGACTAATAAACATATTTAATAGTAAACAAACACATAACAATAATAATAAAGTATATTTAAAAGTTTATTAAAAAAAAGGCAATTGGGACGTCTCCGAATCCTCCCCGAGACCCCGAGAGCTTCAACTCGAAGGGCCGGATGTCGTGAAGTTCGTGGCGGTCGATTCGCGTTCGCATGGGATCGAATCGATCCGCTGACTGGGTTAAGCGCCCATTTAAGAGGGGTGCGGATCTATTTTATTATTTGTTTTGTTTTTAATTGTTTTTGTTATTTATTTTGGGATTGTTTTTGTTTGTTTTTTTGTGGGGCAGGGGGTCGTCTGTGCACTCGCTAGTGTGCGGTCGTCTGTGCAGCTGTGCACTCGGATTTTAGCCAAATGGGATCTAACCCAGTCAGACGCGTTGCAGTGGCAACGGTAACCATTCTATTGGTTGATTCCCCATTCTTTCCAACCATTGTTCTTTTCGAAAACCGGCCGTTTCCCTGGGTTTCTGGAGGTTTTCTAGAAAGAAGGATCCCTAGAAAGAATCGAGAAGGTAGCTCTAGAACCGTAGCCATTTGAGGATCTTAACGCGTCTTTCTTAGAGGCCTCTTGGTGGGGTGTCAGTCGAATTTGCAGAGTACTTGAGTGTTCGGCCAAGTTAGAAAGTTCGTGGTAACCTAGGTTATCACCCACTCATGAGCTCCCTGAATGTGTTTAACCCAGTCAGTGGGATATATCCCATTGGCCAATCACTTAGTTACGAACTTGGCCGAACACTCAAGTAGAATCCCCGTTTCCGTTCTTGAGCCTAAGATTCCGCCAAACATGTTGAGTCTATGGTCCACTCAGTGACAGGAAAGGGGGACTCACTGAAAAAAACAAAAACAAACGGGGAGACAAACCATTTTTTGTCAAATGTCCACGGGAACCAAACTCCAAATCCCGGCACCGAGCAAAAGCTCAGGGATTCAATTGATGACCAAGGCTCAGAGCGGTGATGCCATACCAAGCGCACGCGATGAGGTGGTTCATGGCCAGCATCATCATCAGGCCCGCCACGATCTTCATTACCTGAGTCGTCACCTTTCTGGGTTGCCATTGGGGAAACCCAACACCAACACTGGAAGTCAGGGTCAATTTAATCGTATGTTTAAAAGAAAAACTGGGCACCACCCAAAAACGATTACTGTTTTGTTTGCCATCTCCCTTGCAACAACCCCAAAAAAACGAACCCTCAAACACAGACGCACCCAAGAGGATGTGAGAAAGTTGGGATGTCCATCCTGCTTTGGGGGTTGAATCTTCTGTTGTCACCCCAAATCATAACGTGACAGTAGACTTTTGAAAGTGTCAGTTTCTCATATTAAGTGCAAAGCCATGAAGGCGAATCATGGTTCACAGACCGGAAAGAATGGAACTTGCTAAAGGACCTTCGATCTATGTGAGGTCCTTAAAAGTTTGCCCAGCTGCCACTGAGGCATCTTGTGTTCATTATTGTTCAGAGAAGGTCCCAAAACAAAGCTGAGGCAAGCAAATGCCCCACGGGTCTCGTTGCAGATTCACTTCCTACTGGCTGTTGGGTCACCTGTGGGCCCTAAAAGGTCTGTGTGAACCTGAGAGACCTCTCAATTCGAAACGGAAAAACGTGCGAGGAACCTGCAAGGGGGCCCGTCTTAAGCTCGTTCTCCGTTGCTGCAAACAAAAACATCCAAAGACGCCTCTTGGCCATAGACCAAGAGGCTTGACGTGTCTTTTTTGGGGGATAAGGGCCCCCCCAGACGATGCAACTTCCCTTTCGGATCGGGTCTTCGGATCCTTGGACAACCTCAGACAATCCAACTTTTTGGAAGCATCTCGGATCCTTGGACAACCCGAAACGATCCAACTTCCCTTGGAAGAGCTCCTCGGATCCAAGATATTCAAGAGCCCAATCCATCCATTTCCCTGGATCGATCCAAAGCCGCCATGAAGGCGTGGGTGGAGAGGAACCGGTTGGCCAGCAGCGAGAGCTCCCGGTAGAGCTTCACCACCCGCAGCAGCCGCACCAAACGCAGCAGCCGCAGGGTCCGCAGGAAACGGGCGGATCGGATCACAGCCCCTGGCAGAGAAAAACAAAAAAAGATCCGCCCTGAGCCCTCGAGCGGAGCGATGCAGTAGATGATCTTTTAAATTGGATCCAAACGTTTTGCCTACCACTAAAATAGGCCAAACATGTCCGCAAAACAAGAACCAAACTTTTTGTCGACCACTCAAATGGTCCAAAGATGTCCAAACCCAAAAAGCGACTGAAGTCCAAGAACTCAGGAAGTGAGGATAGCAATCGGGTCATTCTCACTCGGTCAGTTTGAAAATGGAGTCCCGCCGCATCACAGAAAGTGGCCCTAAAGTCCTGTGTCCTGCAACCGTGGAACGGTAGGCGCTTGGTTTTTTGCCTTAAGGGGCAGGGGGTGACAGAGTCCACACTTCTACTCTCTACTTGCCGTCTTTTGCAACAGGACGGCATTAGAACGTTGACCTTGTCTGTAAAATATGCATGCTTTCTTTTTGGAGAGTAGCTCCCAATTACCACTAAGCAACCAAGCCAAACAAAGAAAAACCACACTCCAAAACTATGGATCCTTCAAACGGGCATGTTCCAAATTTCTAGGGGTACCTTCCATTTCCATTCTTTCCAGGGATCCTTATTTCTAGAAAACCTCAAGAAACCCAGGGAACACAGCTTGAAAAGAATGAGGAATCAACCCTAGAAAATTGGCGTCATCTTCTGACATCGGGTCTCAAAGTTCTAGCTCGAACCACGCTTTCAACTATCGTGGAGCCATCCTCATTTCTGGGTTGCTCTTTCCCCAAGCAAAAGGTTTAGCCTTTTGCAGGTTTCCTGGAGATTCCAATGCCGAGGAATTCCTAGGCGTTCTGGTTCTCAAGGCGTTTTAGGCGTTCTAGGCCCATTTTTTGGCGGGTGTTTTGTGGACATTTGCGGGCGTTTCCAGTTTCAAGGCGTTTGCGGTAATTTGCGCTGGGTCAATGCCAAGAACTAGGAATTCCTTGACGATTGAATCTCCAGGTTGGGAAAAACCTTTTTCACCAAAGACCAGTCAAGAAATGTAGTTCAATTCGGCCCACTGCTGGAAGCTAAACATTTCGCACAAAAGACCAATCCAAAGCAATCCACATGGAAGCGAGGCAGTGCCGTCCAAAACGGGCGCTTTCATGCTTTCAGAGGTATAGTGTAAACCCCTCTCCCTAGGCAACCTAGTTTTGGACCCCATCTAATCTTCTGCAGGGGTGCCGCGGGCTCATTGGATTTCGCTGGTCCCATGCACTCCTGGTATGAAAAATGCAGGTTGCAGCCAAACAAGACGGCAGCCCAGGGGGCAAACAACAAAAGCACAGCTCCACAGTTTCATGGGTCCAATTGTTTCTTGGTTCAACACATTCATCCTACTGCGTCCGCCAAAAAAGCACACCTCACTTCTTGAGTGGATTGGCCTCAAGTCTCAATAGCCTTTTGTTTCAATGCAACATGGCCTTCCCGCCAAAAAATAGGAAACTGGTCGATATATGGGTTTGCCTCAAAATAGGAGATAGAACCCCCCAAAAGGTTCATGTCCTCTTGGTTTCCCTTTAGACCAACCAAACAAAGGGTTGCCTCAAACCATGTCATCAGGCAACGAGCATCTCATTTGAGTCATAATCAAAACTTGGTGTTAAAATGGTCTACCCAGAGCCTCGGTACAAAATTAGAAAGGCGGCTATCCGCACTCATTTCTGGTTGGCACTGTCACTTGTTCACCTTCAACTACCTGTTCATTGCCCGCTAACAGTTTAACTTTTAGTGGGTTAAATGGAAGTCCAACCACTAAACACTCAACAGATCAAAAGCTAAGGAACCGGATGGCCTTCGGGAGCCATCAAGGAAATAGACGTTGATCCATATGTTCTTTGGTGAGAAACCCCGGAGGTCCCTGAGAAACGGCATCGAGAGTCCACACTTCTACTCTCTACTTGCCGTCTTTTGCAACAGGACGGCATTAGAACGTTGACCTTGTCTGTAAAATATGCATGCTTTCTTTTTGGAGAGTAGCTCCCAATTACCACTAAGCAACCAAGCCAAACAAAGAAAAACCACACTCCAAAACTATGGATCCTTCAAACGGGCATGTTCCAAATTTCTAGGGGTACTTTCCATTTCCATTCTTTCCAGGGATCCTTATTTCTAGAAAACCTCAAGAAACCCAGGGAACACAGCTTGAAAAGAATGAGGAATCAAGCCCTAGAAAATTGGCGTCATCTTCTGACATCGGGTCTCAAAGTTCTAGCTCGAACCACGCTTTCAACTATCGTGGAGCCATCCTCATTTCTGGGTTGCTCTTTCCCCAAGCAAAAGGTTTAGCCTTTTGCAGGTTTCCTGGAGATTCCAATGCCGAGGAATTCCTAGGCGTTCTGGTTCTCAAGGGGTGTTTTGTGGACATTTGCGGGCGTTTCCAGTTTCAAGGCGTTTGCGGTAATTTGCTTGTGTTTGCGTCCAAAACTTGGTCAATGCCAAGAACTACTAGGAATTCCTTGACGGTTGAATCTCCAGGTTGGGAAAAACCTTTTTCACCAAAGACCAGTCATGAAATGTATTTCAATTCGGCCCACTGCTGGAAGCTAAACATTTCGCACAAAAGACCAATCCAAAGCAATCCACATGGAAGCGAGGCAGTGCCGTCCAAAACGGGCGCTTTCATGCTTTCAGAGGTATAGTGTAAACCCCTCTCCCTAGGCAACCTAGTTTTGGACCCCATCTAATCTTCTGCAGGGGTGCCGCGGGCTCATTGGATTTCGCTGGTCCCATGCACTCCTGGTATGAAAAATGCAGGTTGCAGCCAAACAAGACGGCAGCCCAAGGGGCAAACAACAAAAGCACAGCTCCACAGTTTCATGGGTCCAATTGTTTCTTGGTTCAACACATTCATCCTACTGCGTCCGCCAAAAAAGCACACCTCACTTCTTGAGTGGATTGGCCTCAAGTCTCAATAGCCTTTTGTTTCAATGCAACATGGCCTTCCCGCCAAAAAATAGGAAACCGGTCGATATATGGGTTTGCCTCAAAATAGGAGATAGAACCCCCCAAAAGGTTCATGTCCTCTTGGTTTCCCTTTAGACCAACCAAACAAAGGGTTGCCTCAAACCATGTCATCAGGCAACGAGCATCTCATTTGAGTCATAATCAAAACTTGGTGTTAAAATGGTCTACCCAGAGCCTCGGTACAAAATTAGAAAGGCGGCTATCCGCACTCATTTCTGGTTGGCACTGTCACTTGTTCACCTTCAACTACCCGTTCGATTGTGGAATGTGGGAATGAACCCAGAGGTCCCCGAAAAGGAAACCACCAGTTGGATGGTTTCTAAGGGTCATTCAATGTCTCATCTCGCACCAGCAACTCATTTCGCGGTCGCGCCTTCGCCTTTTGCCAAGACCACCGCCTCCAAGAGAAAGACGACGCAGTCGATGAGCACAACCAACCTATTCCGCTTCGAACGTGTAGCTTCAAACATGTGGAAGATACATCCCGCCTATTCCATTTGTCGAGTCTTCCCAAACAATATGGACATGTGGAAGATACATCCCCCCCTACCGAGAGAGGGGGAGGGGGTGCAGGGTCCGGGACCCAATTCCATTTGTGGAGTCTTGCCAAACAATACGGGTTACCATCAATGGCAATCTCCAGAATTCGAAAGCCCCCCCATTTTTAAGGGGGTGGAGATGAAGATACCAAAGTCGTTGATTCTTGGGTGCCAATCCTTCCCAGAGATTCTATTGCCCTGCATGGGTACCCTAAGGGCTTGCCACCCTTTAAGAACCGAAAGGAAAGTGGCTGGTTGCCTACAATGTAGTGACTTGCCTTACGTGGCAAAAGTGAAAAAGGTATTTCGGTCAAACCTAAAACTGGAAAGAACTGGCCAGTCTGAGCTGCAACCATTTGCTGAACAGTCAAAGAGTCCAACAAAAGAGCGCCCAAGGCGCGGCTCGTTTGGATTATGTCTCAGAGTCTCAGTGGATTTCCATGGGAAGAAAAAGACTCGGCATCCTTTTTGTTGGTTGCTTGAGTTGAAAGGGAACCCTTCCCAAGACAAGTTGGCGAAAACCTGCGGGCTCCACTGGGCAACTGGGATGTAGATCCTCTGGGCTGACCAAATCGACCAACCTTCGAGCACGGCAGCTCGCAAAACCAGAGGACACATGACTCGGATTGAAGCCAAGGGCAAGGAAAGCGCGTTGCGGGCGTCCAAAATCACAGAACAAGTGACAAAATCAATCTCTCTTTAGCTAATGCAGGAATGATTGAGGATTCTCAGCCAACTCACTGTCATGCTCAGCATCATTGCTACTTGCAGGCTGAACTTTACTACAGGTTTCGGCTCACACTCGAATACAGCTCGAAACGAATATGGGTATGTGCCAAAAGAAGGGACTCCGGACAGAAATGTCACTTTTCCTCCGGGCTCCCTGTAAAACAAGCAAACATTGTTGCCCTCAACAAGCACACAGACCCAAATAGGTCTGGAAGCGATCGATCCAAAAGTACCTCACAATCTCACAAGCTTGTTCAATCTTCGAAAGGAAACCACCATGTGATTCCCCCAGATAGCTGAAAGCTATAGGGGTTCTAAAACCAATAAAGAAGGGAAACTAATTTGCGAGATTGATAGCTGGGTGCTGGGGGGCGTGCAGTTTGGGGTGCTGGTGTAGGTGCTGTTTGGGAGCTGCTGGTGGTTTTTCGAATATTGACGGCAGGGTGCTGGTGCAGATACTGTTTCGGGGTGCTGTGCGGGGCGCTGCTTGGGTGCTGGTGACGGCGCGGGCGCATTTTTGCGAGATTGACGGCCGGGTGCTAGGCGGCATGCAGGTGGCAGTGCGGGCGCACTTTTGCAAGATTGTTGGTAGGGTGCTAGGGGGTATGCAGTTCGGGGTGCTGGCGCAGTGCTGTTTGGGATGCTGTGTGGCGTGTTGTTTGAGGTGCTCTTCGGGCGGTGATGTTAGAGGTGTTGGCGTGCAATCGTTGGCGCGTATTTTGCGATCTGGGGTCTATGCTGGTGTAATGTCTTCTTCCTTTTTTCTGGGGGAGGGAAATACAATCGTGCCCATCAGATCGTACACCCCCCAGCCCTCAGGCAACATGTGCGGCCTTCCATTCCCAATGTCGCCCTAGAACATCAACACACAAAGAGGGAAAGGCACCTTAAAATCGCCTAAAGAGTGTCACGTCTCGAACTTTAGTCCACAAAATTGGAAGATCTACTGTGGATGGACGAAATCCTGCACCACTGTGAAACCAGGCGAAACCATGTTTTGTTGGCCTTTTTCAGGCGAATCGACTCATTCCAGGGTTTTCTTCGGTGGTACGAAATGGATTCTGTCCATCCACAGTCGGGAGCCCAGCTGCTCAACAGCCGCCTTGCATAGGCCGAGCTGCACATCCAGACAAAACCAGGACTGCAAGTAGATCAAGGCCAGGCGTTTGGGCCGAAGCTCTAGCGTCCCTCCCAGCTGGATGCCAAAGATGAAGTGAAGCCTAGTCACAATCAGCTCGAGTTCAAGAGGCCCCTTCCATTTGCTTTTTCGCCCCTTGAACAGTCCAGTAGTGATAGAATGTGATAGATTATCTCAAAATCAAAGGGAAATAAAACACATAAGTCTTAAGCAAAATACGAAAGTTACCCATGCCAAGAGTCACAAGAAGCCTGGCTTCAAAGAGGTCCATCTGCCCAACATGCGGTTCACACGATCTCCGAAACTCTGGGACTGCACGCTTCATTTCCGAGGCCGGCTTTCAACTCTGCGGGTGTCTGATACCCCGAAGACCTGATCAAAGTCAACCTCTCACTTCGCAAGTAGAGCCTGGTCTCAAAATCTGGGCTCTTCTTTGGCCTCTGCGCGTTGTTTTTCAACAAATAAATTTGCAGAGCCGGAAGGGCCTTCGCGTTGACGAATGCGTCGCAAGGGTGGCTCTCTGGTAGCGCAATTGCAAACGCAACCCATTTAATGGTCTACCCGGAATCATGTAAATGACTCAAAAGGGAACGATGCAGCCGCCTTTATGGCTGGAAGCAACCCTTACCAATCTTATTTTTTGTGGATCGCTTCACTTCGTTGATTCCCAGCAAGGGCTGTGTGCTTCTCGAAGGATGCGATGCGGACAAGGCAAGGATGGTTGCCTCCAGGTTTCAAGGGAAAGGAGGACAATTGCATTTTGGAAAACTAGATGACACTGGATGGAAAAAACTCCATCTAAACCAGTGAAACCCATGAATTTCAAACCAAACTCACCTGAAAAGGAGCTATGAATATATGAGTGTGGCCCACCCAGGTCAGGTCGTGGTAGATACCAGATGTTCATTCTTTACGACTGACACACAAAATCAAAGTCTCGGGCAAGTTTGACTCATGGGCTTTGGACGCGGCATCTGTCCATAAATGTTCATTAGAGTTACACTGCAGTTGCCAGCTGCAACTCCGTGGCGAACATACGGGAGTTTCAATATTCAGCCGTGCCTTTCTCTTGAGTCCCGATTCGGGGGTCTGATTGAATGCAAGTCCCCAGGCCAGGATCCCATCTTCGGAGGAAATGCAACGCGAACTTTTAACCGTCCCTGTCTGCAGAATTATCATGGAACCCTACATGGGTCCTTGTCGGCGATTCCGTTCAAACAGATTCGTTGGGTTCCGGCGTTTGTGAGTGGCAGCCGCGCATGACAAATGCCCAGGGCATGGTGCCATTACAAGCACCCAACCCAAAAATGCACATTTGTTTCACCTCATGTCAACACTGGTATTTTTTAGTTGCTCCCTTCCTGAGTTGATGGGCGAAAAGTCCAAGTTGTGTGTTTGTCACCAAAACGCTAAAACGGGGGCCTTCCCAAACAGTGACTCGAGTCCAAAACGGACCTCAGGGAGTAAGGTTGGTGTTCACAGGGACCCAAAGCAACAACACCCCAATTTCGGTTGGGGTCCAGTGATGCCCGATCCAGATCGGCACAGATCCAGCCGACCGGGGGCCCTTCTTGGCGGTTTGGCTTGGTTTAGCAGCGAGGTGTCCCACGTTCAAGAGGAACTGGGGTAAGCCCCATTTCCCACAAATCCGAGCTATCGATCCAAGAGGTGGTTTTGCAGTTGGTTCGGATCACGCGCGGGCACCTCCCCCGCTTGGTTTTGCAGCATCTCTCTACTTGGTGATTTGGATTGGTGATTTGGTGGTTTGGGATGGTTTCCCATTTACTCTCTACAAGAAACAAGGCTTCAATGCCCAAACCACCAATCCAAACCACTAAAATGAGGGTTATCTGAGTTTTGGTGAAGGCGGACAAAAGCTTGGAGACTCCGAGATATGTTTTGGTGAATCTTGGCTTCCCTTTGTTTTGACCCGTTGACCATACTGTGGATGGACAAAATCCATTTCGCACCACCTTTAGAAACCCTGGCTTCTGATGATTCCCCCGCAAATACCGACAAATATTGGTTTCTTAGGTAGCGCTAGAAGCGGATTTCGCAACCATCCACAGCAAGACCAACGGTAAGCCCTGGATCATTGAGCTGAGATGCGGAATGTCCAGGGTCCAAAAGCAGAAGGAGAAGATGCCAACGCCGTCCAGGACCTCGTTCAGCTCCGGCACCGAATACATCTCCAGAGGGATAGTGATCCTGATGCCGGGAAAAGCAACAACACAAGCAACCACATGCCCCTCACCCGCCCACCCACCCACCCACCCACCGACCCACCGACCCACCGACCCACCGACCCACCGACCCACCGACCCACCGACCCACCGACCCACCGACCCACCGACCCACCGACCCACCCACCCACCCACCCACCCACCCACCCACCCACCCACCCACCCACCCACCCACCCACCCACCCACCCACCCACCCACCCACCCACCCACCCACCCACCCACCCACCCACCCAGACACACAGACACACAGACACACAGACACACAGACACACCCACACACCCACACACTCAGACACAGACACGCAGACACAGACACAGGCACAGACACAGACACAGACACAGACACAGGCACACACACACACACAGGCACGCACAGGCACACGCACACGCACAGGCGCACACACAAACACGCATTCAGACCTTGACCACCCTTAGTTCCACTAAATGTTCACCTACAAAGTCATAGTCCTGAATGTCCGAACGAACTCTGCAGGGGTGCTCCCTCTCGCAAAAAAGGATGCAAACAGGAAGCAAACCGCGGGGTCTGCATGTCACAAAACAGCCCTCAGAACAAAGATAGGCTTCCTTCTGATTTTCCTTTGGAGCGGCTCCGCAAGGGGGCGCCCCAACAAAGACGAGCACGGGCGTCTTGATGTCTTCCAAGTGTCAAGTCCCAAAGGATGAGGATGGTGGCAATGGAGGACCAAAAGAGTTGCCACCTGCTGCGGGGGCCCACCACGTACTGCTGGAGCCAGCTGTCGTCCGTGAGGGCGTTGTTGATCCGCAGCGTGTGGTCCCTCGGGGAAAAACAAAAGAAGACGTGCGCTATGCCTTGGTTGACGTTGGAAGGGGAGCAACAATTCTCAAATTTTAGCAGTTCAGTGGTTGGATTTCAACCACTAAACCACAATAAGCATCCATGAACGGATCAAGGCGGCACAAGGTGGAGTTGCGGGGAGTTGCGGGGTTGGGCGTTGAGGGGGGGTCATGTTGCATCATGCAGGGTGCTGTGGACGAGGCAAATGAACCAATAACTCAGTTTCATGCTGCGCACGAATGTCATTTGCAGGTTGAATTTCAGAGTGCTGCCGGCTCGGGAGTGCACACATCAAGAAAACACGATCTGGAGACAACTTTGCGGGCGCTGGGCAAAAATCCAACACATATGTAGATAAACACAATAGTCAGACCAAATCACAGCGGGGCACTGCAATTTACGGGATTTACTAGCCCGTCAATATCAAAGGAGAGGCAAGTTGGAAGTCCAATTCACTCGCACGCGCTTCCCCAAAATAGCAAAGGCATACAGTTCATCATTCTGGAAGCAAATCACAACGGGGCGCCGGAACGCGCTATCTGTCTTTGTCAATGCAAAAACAAGTCGGACAGTTGGCGACTCCTATGCGTTTCCTAAACATTGAAAGGTGAGAAAGTCATGCGCCAAGAACCACATCACAGTGGAGCGCGGGGAAACACTATCTTTCAGTCCCAATAGAAAACAAGCTGGGAAGTGCTTTCCAACCAAGTGGTATGGTAGCAACCAAAAGTCTTTTTGTGGCCCACTGCAAAGAAGGAACTACGTATAGGTTGGTATGCCCCAGCTTAATAGAACACTTAGCGCTGAGCAATTCCCAGCGTGCAATTCTCTACCCCAGTATTCAAGGGAAAATGTGGGTGGTCATAATGCCTTTCTTGTATCACTCCAAAGGGGGCATCAAAAATAGGCACGCCCGAAGGTTAATGGTACCTCCATGCTCCCTTGGCCCCCGGTCCAAGCAGGATGCAAGGGGCCAAGAGGTATCGCACATGAATTTGGAGAGCCGGTTCTCATTAAATGGGGTTCGGAGCGCTGTTTCACTCTAAGGCTCATGACCCCTCCAATGCAGGGCCCCGGGCCCTCCAAAGAACCTGGACCCTTCAGGGTCCCTTGAAAACAACCCATTTTGGGGGCCCCAAAAGCATCGGGAGCCTTAGGGCAGCAAAAATCACCGGATTTCCCCGCCAAAAGTTGGTCCAATTGCTGGTGGTGTCCATGGAAACTGCCAAAAGCTTTTGGAGCTTCCACAAATGGTTAAAAAGGGACATGGATGAAACCCTGTAATCAAAGTTAAATTCAGGGTAAGTGGGTCTAATTGGCTTCAAATACCTCGAACTTAACTTGTTCGTTGGAATTAAAGGAAAGCCAGCACGAAACCAACTTGCCAATAGGAACTGGACACCGCTTCCCATTGAGAAACCAACTTGCCGGTCTGCAAAAGTCCGAGCTGCGGGGACATGAGGCTCACCTGGCGCGTGGATTCGCGAGACGCCACGTGAAACCGTCAATGGGGCTTTTGCCTGAAATAAATACGTACCCTGACATACCCCTCCAACAAAAGAAAAGAAGAGGGAACTCCTTTCAAGATGGCATGATCGTTTTTTCATGTACCTATGAACTTTTGGGAGGATCCTGTAGCCATGATTTCAGGATGCTCGGTCGAATTGCGGACCCCCAAAGGAAAAGCCCATGTGAACCCCAAAGGAAGCCTCCCTCACAATTGCTCCGCCACAGAGCTGAATCCCCAAGCACTTCTCGATAAAGAGGAACGCGCAAAAATCATCTTGCTTCCTGTTGCTTTCCCTTGAAAAAAGAAAACAGAAAACAAAGAAGCCCTTTCTTAAACAACAAACGAGACCTCTACCACCTGAAACCAGCTGAAAAACAACACATAAAAGGGAGCTCCCTCAACCAAAAGAAGAGACATACCCAGCCGGGCCCAGCGGTTGGGAGAAAACCACACCACCAGAAGCACATATTCTCACTGGCTGAGTGGATGGCCCAGAAAAAGTTCAAACTTTATATTTACCGCAAAAATGGTCTTCCCAAAAAGTGTAAAGTTCATGAACTCAGGAAGTGAGTATTTACCAGCTCCCTCTTCCCGAAGCGCCTCGTACATCCGGGCGGTGCCGGGGACTTGGCTCAAGGGGATCTTCCACACCGGCTTCATCTTCAAGATGTCCTCCTGCTCCCTGCAATTTTGGCTTCGGCTTTCCGAGGCGAACATTACGCAAGCCTCAGCTTGGCCAAGAGGGAAACACTCAGCTTGAACTTCGAATTCCGGTGGTGAGGCGGAACCCATGCGAGCTATTCTCCTACTTGCGGATACGCCCACTGGAGCAGAAATGGTTTCCAATAGTGATAGATGCCCCTGAAAACCAACAAGGGAAAATTGAAAAAAAACAGTGGAAGTATTTGGGTGTGTCTCTTTGTCCCTTTTCAGGTTGGTTTGAGGAGAAACCAAGAGAACAACTCACACAGCTTGTTGGCCCCCCTGCTTCGATGTGTCCTTTCTAAAGTGGAACATTTGCAATCTTGTTCGTTGTGGCCCGCGTTGAGCCGGTCAACAGAGGCTGTCAAATTCTTGCTGGTTCAACATATACCCATTTCCGTGAGCTGCGAGAACTTGCTGGTCATGACCATTTCAGCCTGTAAAATCAACATGAGGAAACATGCATATATATATATATGTATATTGATGCATTTCTATATATACATATCTATATATATATATATACCTGTTACTTTTATTTGACTCGTGAGCATGTCACATGTCAGCTATCTTAAATGGAAGCTCGCGCTGCAATGCAAGTTGGGGACCCCGGTCGTATTTGCAATCCGCAGGACGGCGCATACCAACGGATTCTGGCGGTCTGCGGCTGCGTTTCACACGAAACCCGTCCCAAACAAACCCAGAATTGCCAGAATTGCTTACGCAAAAACTTCCGTGGCTTCAATCACTTCCCGAGACTGGAGCAAAAAAAAAATCCAAGCTTGTTTTTTTCGCCACTTGCGTGGTCTTCAAAAAAAAGTGACTCAAGCCCCGGAACTCAGGATTCGAGAACTCAGGAAGTTTTCTCACCCAGGGCGGACACCTGGAATGCTCGTTCCGTTCAACTCGTCTTCGTTCTTCGCCGGCCATGTTAACATGAAAAATACCGGCAAATGGTAGGCAGCCTTTCGGTGCTCCCTAGGTTCTGGTCCAATCTTTGAAGCCTCAACCCGTCCAAGGGTACAGGTTTGGGGGGTGTCTTAAACTTGGTTGCTGTTGCCCCCTGTGCAAAAAGTTTAACCTTTTGTGGGCCCCATGGCAAAAATCCCACCTGTTTCCGCAGAAAAAGTTCGAGTCAAAGTTCTGTTTCGCTAACACTTCGACCTGTGGCGTCCTACACAATTCAACTTGCGGCTTGGGGCGCGAAGAAACAAACAACTCACCGCTGTGCATTGCATGTTGCCCAAAAGCGAGGCAGCTCCCCATAAAAGGTTATCAGAAGTCCAAAAATGTAGCTCCAAAACGTCAGCCTAAAGAACCAGCAAAATGACTCCAATCCCGGATGAGACAGCCCAAGAGGGGGTAAGTTCTCTGACCCTACTATTGTTAACATGGTCAAAGCAACCGGGTTCAGGGGAAACAGCATCAGCTTCTGACATTGACAAAGCTGAGAAACGGTCCAAGCAATGCCTCCAGTTGCTTGGCTTAAAGGGAAGCCAGGACCGCAGAACCCCCTTGGCCCTTTGACACATATCCATGAAGAGGCCACTTACAGGTCCCGGTGGTCCCAATTTCGACTCATGTTTCAGCGGCGGAGAAGCAAGTCTCAGCGGCGGAACATAGAGGTAAAGGAGGTATTGACCATTGAACTGTTGTCAGTGCATTTCCCCGCAAACAGTGGATCAATTCATTGGCTTCGGCCATTCCTGCGAGTCGGATTGTGCTTGGTCTTCCTTAAAAGGAAGGGAAGTAACCCAACTGACAAAGCCTACCAAACGCTTCGGCCCCCCATTTCAGGTTCCATTCAAACTGACCTGCGGTTCTTTACTCACTTCCGATCAAGTGGAGTAGCCGCAAAACGTCCTGTTTACACGAAAAAACGGTCTTCCCACAAAGTGACGAAAGTCCAACAACTCAGGGAGTGAGTTTATGGGTGCGGAATCCAAAGTTTAACATGTCATCCTCAGCGCTACCTCTCGAACGAGACTTCATTTTTTCCCGCGCCTGCTTGGCACCTGTTCGATTTCATCACCTGAACAAAACACAACCGACGGCCAAAAGTCTGGCAGTTGCGACCCCGAAGGGGGTGGCTCTAAATGCGGCGTCCAACAAAAAGACGACCCTGCATACAACATATATTCTATGGGTGTGTGTATATACATATTGTATTATGTATATATGGGTTTGTGTCAAAGTAGGGAACCACCCAAAAATGGGTGGTGTCATTTAATGTTGTTTGTCCCTGAAAGTCACTCGTGAGATATCCTGAAATAATGCGTTCCCCTTCGTCATGCCCGTCGGTTGATCCCCGAATCGAATAGGTACACGAGAGCAAGCACGGCGGATCATCTGAAGACCTGGCCATTGACACTTGAGGAGCGGGTGAACGAAAGCTAGCAGTTGTTGCATGAGATGGGTCGGTGACAGAGTGGATTCATGGGTAGCTTGTGTACAACGAGAGGCCCGGCAAGATTCGTAGGATGCGACACGCAGACGCACATGGTGGCGTGGCAAACCTTGAAAAATGAAAACAACGAGAGGCGTCAGAAGCTGTCTTAAAGCACCTCTGGGTTCTGCATGCTGCGTGTGCAAAGATTCTTGCGAGGTGGTTTACTGAGAAGACTGAGGTCTCAAATGAACAAGCTGAATCGGTGGAACATGTAAAAGTTCGTAGCACCAAGTCCAAAACGGGCAAACCGAGACTGCTGAACACTGAGCCACTGCCCGGGGGGGGGGGATGGACCAGGGAGGAATCGAGCCTGAGACCCGGGGGGGGGGGAGGGGGGGGGGGTCTAAATAATTGATGTTTTTCAATCTTTTCGGCTCAAATAATTGAAAAAATCAATCTTTCGGCATTTGAGCCCCTTACCTTGCTTACGCAAGGAGAAACTTCAGCTAGCTAAAGCTAGCTTTCGTGATAAATGGATGTCTTTTTTGATATGCTTTCTAAGGTTCTGAGTGAATTGTAAGATTTCACCAACCTGAAATAAGGTGGTTGGGGGGCTATTCCCCACATAAACCACCATTTGGGGTGAATTCGGTCGTGTGAGGTCGTTGTAATTCACCCAGAAGGTCAATTGAACGGCAAGCCATGGGGACCCAGCTTTGTGGAGGGTCCCTCAAACAGACAGACCCGGATTCAGCAGCGTCTAGAGTCGAGTTGGTTGTCGAGTTGGTTACTATGGGGAGGGTGGGTGTGTGAAACCAAAGTGGCTGCCTCTAAAATAGGCGACCGACCTGTTGATCAACTAGGGAATTGCCTCCGGCAAATTGTTAGGATGAGATTTGTATTGGGCTGATATCAGTTGACTTGAGGCGGTATTGTTTTGCATGGTGATCTTCTTGCCACGAAAAGCTGAAAAACAAACTTGCTCCAAACATGCTTCCACTAAGGCGGTCTTAGAAAAACAACCCTGCATCCTTCGATGACAATGAGGATGACGACGACGACCACAACTAGGATGAGGACAGGACGAGGATGGTGGTGACAGCGATGGTGTATGGTGTATGGTGTATGGTGTATGGTGTATGGTGTATGGTGTATGGTGTAGGGCGATGGTGATGGCGAGGAGGAGGAGCGGGAGGAGGAGGACGATTATGATATCTATGATGATGAGGAGGAGGATTATGAGGATGATGCCCCGTCTATGTCGCTGACAAAAACAGGAAACGCCTTGGCCAGCGTCCGAATGCTTGTTGATCTGAGCACCATGGGTCTTGTCTCTGGGAGCCCTGCCTGCTGGCTTCAAGTCGGCCTGAAATTTCCTTTTTGACACGAGCAGAAAGGGGTCAAAGTGCCTTCCAGGCCCCAGCCAGATCTGCTCAGCATAGTTATGAGCAGAGTTGAACTCACAACAACATCGATGCGGTGTGGGTGCTTTGCCGATGTGTTTTTGGGTGGCCCTAAACCTGGATCAGTTATGATTTGGCCCTTCACTCTCAGAGGCGTTCAAACAGAACTCCGCTCTCACATCCCCATGTACGTCCCAAATGGGCTATGACGGACAAAAACAAAACAAAAAAAGCAAACAAACTCGCCAAGAACCGTGAAGGGGAGCGGGGCTCTCTCCTATGAGACCATTTTCTTCGGGCTTCGGCTCTGATCCTTGGCTCCTCCCAGGATCTAGGGATAACCCCCTCAATAGGTTGAGGTAATTGACCATTCTAGGGGGTGATTCCTTTTCCATTCTTTTCAACCATCGTTCTTTTCCATACCCAGCTGTTTCCCCAGGGATTTGGGTGGTTTTCCGGAAAGATTCGGATCCCTGGAAAGAATGGACATGGAAGCTACCCCTAGAACCATACTACATGACAATCTATCAGCTTCCTTCTGGCGGTTTGGCTGGGTGGTTTCGAAAGAAGCTGGGATTCAAATCCCCAAACCAATTCAAACCACCAATTAGAGGCGTACCTGAATCTAGAAGCAAAAAGAAACACCACAAATACAACATCCTTGGCCAATTGAATTGGATTCAATCAAACAACAAGTCTAAGTTCCTTGTTGATCCATTGTCCTGCAACATTGGGGCGCGTCCCGTTTTACGGGAATTCTGCAACATGATGCTCGAAAGCACAATTCCCAAAGTCGGTTCCTGCCCCCCCCCCAAAAAAAACACAACAACACAAACAAAACCAAAAAAAACAGCCAACCAACCAACCAACCAACCAACCAACCAACCAACCAACCAACCAACCAACCAACCAACCAACCAACCAACCAACCAACCAACCAACCAACCAACCAACCAACCAACCAACCAACCAACCAACCAACCAACCAACCAACCACGCAACCACGCAACCAAGCAACCGACCGACCGACCCACCAACCAACCAAACAAACAAAAGCAACACATATGTGTATATATATATGTATGTATGTATGTATGCATGTATGCATGTATGTATGTATGTATGTATGTATGTATGTATGTATGTATGTATGTATGTATGTATGTATGTATGCATGCATGCATGCATGTATGCATGTATGTATGTATGTATGTATGTATGTATGTATGTATGTATGTATGTATGTATGTATGTATGTATGTATGTATGTATTTAGTATGTATGTATGTATTGGGCATGCGACAACATAGGGGGACCCTCCAAAATCGGGGGAACCCGCCCAAAAAAACGAGACCCATGGCCGAAAAAAACATCATCGGGATCGATGGATCGATTGCCTGTGGTCTCCAGAAGCTTCACGGCGAAGCGGGCCCAGGGATGTTCGATCTCCAACTCCTGAGCGAACCGGTGACCGGTGCATCCCCTGCCGGTGGGGTTGGGGGGGGGGGGGGTTTCTCAAAATGATCTTCCCCTATAGGGGAAGGGGGTCCTCAAAATGGTATTCCCCCAAAAGTGGCTGTGGTTTTTCTAGGGAGGCTAAGGCAGGGCGGCTTGCGGGGTTGCAGCATGGGGGTTTCTCAAATGGTGGTCCCCCAGAAGTGGTTGCTGCTTCCCCCAAGGATGTGGGGTTGGGGTTGGGGGGTTGGACATGTGGGGTTGGGGTTGCAACGTGCAAATAATGGTCCCAACAACGCAATGTTGCCTTGACAGACCTCCAAGCAGAGGCTTTCTGATTTCATTTCGAGCTTTTTGGGTAAATTGTCCTCGGCTTTTGAATCCGCGCAGATAAGCAGTCCTTTTGGGTGTTGGGGAAGCTTTGACATTGATATCTGCGGCTTACCAGAGCACCATGCGTTCCCTTCTCAAACCATAGGCTTGAACAACAGTGAGCCTGTGTTGTTTTGAAGCTTGGTACCCTTTTCTGGTTGGTTCGAATGGAAGCAACCACGAAGACACAGAATTGAAAACCCACCTGAACGAAACTATCAACTTTGAATCGGGCCTCACTTCCCTTTTCGCGTCGCTCGCAAGAGCTGCTCATAGGCAGCTTGCTGAGCTTCGTAAAGGCGGGGAAATGAGCTGCGCTATTGCGCCTAAGAAAAATCAAGATATGCATGGGTCCTTCCAAGTTCCCCGTCTGAAAAGAAGAACCTCCAGCTTGCATGAGGATTTCTGATTTCTGCATCTCCGAAAGCAGCTAGGAAATAACAAACACCACAAGATCCATCCATCCATCCATCCATCCATACCAATATCCATATCCATATCCATCCATGCAATCCCAGGCGAGAGCCCTTGTCAAAAGCAACCCTTTCAGCAGTGAACAGAAGCGGAATCCGGTGAACATAAAAGCGACTAAAGTCCGACCCGCGAGTTGAAGGGTGCCCGTTTTGGGTTGGCTTAAATGGACGCCAAAAGGAAAACAGCCAGCTGGGGGGTCCCCTTAAAAAAAGACACACCCTCAACATGGTTGCTGTTGACCCTCTACAAGAAGTGTTCACCGTTTTGTGGGGCCAATACTTCGAAACTCCACTGTTTCCCCGGAAAGCTGACAACAAAAACTCCCAAAAATCCGTTACCAAGTCACCTTCAAGCAACCTCCGGAGCCCCGAAAACTCCACCAAGGATGGCGCCGATCGGCCCCAGCCCGGCCCCAGCCACCCACCTTTGACCCATCGGTTGACCAGTCGGTCCGGTCCTGGCCCATGATGGCCTCGGTGTCCACGCGGCTCGGGGCCACCACTTCCACCAGCTCCGCCAAGCTCTTGGAGCCCGTGACGAAGTCCGCCAACGTCTTCGAGCCGTGCTCCCTGGCGCAAAAGCCCGGGGAAAGCCGGGGAAAACCTGGGGGGGGAGGGGGAGGAAGGGGGGGGACTGCAACTTGGATGCATCCCCAAACCAGGGATAACCCCATATGAATAAATGGGAGCTACTGCAACAAGCCGAAGGCTTCCGATGCTTTTTGGGCCCTCAAAATGGGTTGTTTTCAAGGATTGGAGGGGTCATGAGCCTTAGGGAACTTGCTGTTTTTCCGAATGGGAGCGTCTTTTTGTGGTGACAATTGCCACTTTGTTGTGGGTTTTGGGAGGAAAACCCAAAAGGGTTGCCCATAATGTTGACCCCGGATGAAGAAACCCCCGTTGATGAATCTGGGGGTGTCCCTGGTTTGGGGATTCGGACCAACTGTGCAGGGGCCAAAAAACCAGCCCCATTTTTTGGTTTGACGGGGGGTCAACGTTCATCGGGGTTCAACATTACGGGTAACCCTTTTGCTTTTCCCCCAAAACCCACAAAAAAATGGTACCACAAAAGACGCTCCCATTTGGGAAAATCAAATTGCTGCATTACCAGCCCCCCGCCGCCATACTAAACAACATGTTTATTCTATTGTCAGACCACTTGTGCAGCACCCCCATATGAAGAAACCGGGGTCACCCTTCATCCGGGGTCAACATTATGGGCAACCCTTTTGGGTTTTCCTCCTGTGGGTATTTACTTTGCAGGCGATGTGACTTGGAGCCAGCGATTGCACTGGAAATGGGTGGGCCACAATAGGGATCCGTGCCCTGACCCGTGACGGATTCTGGCCTGACTCAGGGCTCCAAAGATTGCCAAATCGAACCTGTCCAGTGGAACAAAAACAATATAAACATAACAAACGAGAAAGCCAGCTGAATAGGAACGTACAATCATATAATGCTAACGCAATAGAATATAGGCACACCTGCTCAACCCAAAGGGATGGAAGGAGAGGCACAATCAAAACCACTCGTGCAATGCTAAACGAGATGGGAATTTGAATCATCTCGATTGCGATCATTTAGTACACTGACGTCACAGTCAAAGCAACTTGTATTAAACTGGGCTACCCCATACCATGGTAATTGAGAACCAAACTTGAGGCAGGGGAATCCGAACCTGTTGCCGGTTGGGACCGTGACCTATTACTCTGATCTACCCAGGCTTTGATTGTGGTAAAACGGTAAGTCCTGCAGCAGTTGGTAGGTGGTTGAGGCCTGTCTTCACGGGGGTTCATCCATCCGGTGCCAAGTAGTTGTTGTTGCTCGGCTTTCATCCAGCTCTGGCCTGGCCCATGATTTTTGCAAATTTGCTAACTGGTAGCTTGCGGGCACTTCCGACGACAGAACTAGACGAGTCGTGGTCAAAACTCCTTCTATGGCCTACGGTTTAGTGCTTCGTGATCCTATATTCAGCTGAAAGGGAATCATGTATACTGGTTCGATAGGATCCTTGCTATCACATGATCATCCCTATGAACCCCCCAACCCCAACCCAAACCTCCCCCCCCGCCCAACCCAAACCTCCCCCCCGCCCAACCCAAACCTCCCCCCAACCCAAACCCCCCCCCCCGACCCAAACCCCCCCCAACCCCCCCCCCAACCCACCCAACCCCCCAAGACCAAAAAGATCCACTCGTACTGCCCAAAAGTAAAACCCCTTGCGCGGGTCGCCTCGAAACCGGGCGCTGCTTCGACCCCACGCGCCCGGGCGCCGCCGCCGGCGCGGCGACAGGCGCCGAGAGCGGCGGCTCGTTGGCCGGCGCCGCGTCCTGCGAGCTGCCGACCCCGGGCGGCGGGGCCGAAACTCGTAGCCCAAACGGAACCCGGAGTGGACACACGGGCCAAGACCTGCGGGTGAAGGGTGGGCTTTAAATGTTTGGATGGGCTGCCCGTTTTCTCATCGATCCCCTGCTAAAAGCGACTAACTTTTAGTAGGTTAAATGAAAACTACCACTAAACACTAAAAGGATCTAAAAAGCTAAGGAAATAGCCGGGAGCAAGTGAATCAACCAACCAGTTTAGTAATAGGGGGGGTGTTCCCCTCCAAAAGTGATCTGATTCCCAACATTCGGTATCTTTTTGGTGATAACCCACTTCATGTTGACCCCGGATCAATAAACGCCGGTTTATTAATTACGGGGGGCGGTTCCCTCCAAAGAGTGATGATTCCCGGCTAAACCCGGGTTGACCCCCCCTATAAATAAACTGGTTGATTCATATGGGGTCAACAGTAGTGAACGACGCGAACGTAGGTGTCCTTTTTGGCCGACATCGATGGGCTTCCCCAACCGAAACTGGGCACCTATGCAAGTGAGCCGTGGGAACTAACCTTGGGGAACAAGTGAAAGATAAGTCCGGAGGGATCCCCATGGTGTCTTACCTGATCCCTTAATTCGTCAAGGTCCTGAAGAAAGACTCGCCGCAAAGTTGATAAAGCTGGCAAGTGAATTGGGAGGGGGGGTGGTTTCAAATAAGTGACCCGGACCCCTTCTTCAATCGATACCCAGGGCTAATCAATCCTGGGTTCGCATGGAGAGAAACCCAAAGGCTACCAACTACCAGGCCCGGAGGGTGGGGCGGGGGGTTATTCCAGCCCATGAGTCATGCCCAATCTAGGCATCTGATGGCCCCTCCCCACCTCCCACGCCTTGGAGGTACTTGCGATATGTAGGGAATCAGGGAATGAACCCAGGGGGATCCGGAAAGGAAGCCGCCAACTGGATGGTTCTTCTAGGGGTTACTTCTCATTCCCTGCCCATCGCACCAGCATGCACAATCCAGCAAGCTGTGTCCACCGACACACACACACAGAAGCCAAGGTGCGCATGGAACTTCTTAGTAAGAACATTTTTCCAGAGGACAACTAACCCTGCGTTGACAAGCACCGCGTGAGTCATGTTCGAAGTTTGCTTGGAAGCAGACGGGTTCTGTGGCTCCCCTTGAGTCCATCAACAAGAAAGATCCGGCAAAAGTGGCCCAGCCTGGCCATGAATCAGCCCATGTGCTTCGAACACTGCCC